GCATGGAGTCAAGAAGACCTGAGTTCAAATTCAGTCTCAGACACTCATAACCTCTGTCTGCCTCAGTATCCTCATCTGTAAAATGATCAGGGTTGTGGAGATTTAATGAGATGTTGGTAAAGTGCTTAGCACTTTATGCCTGGCATATAGTAGGTGCTTAAGGTGCTTAATAATGCTCATTTCCTTTCTTCCAAATGTACAAGAACATCACGTGATGAGAACTTCTGAGTGCTTTGTGAACTGTCCCATTGGAGGGAGTTCTCTACATCAGTAAAGTCGCAGAGCCCTTTCAGTACCAAACATTTCAGACCCTCTGGCAGCAAAGCTTGTTAAAAATGAAGGAGAGGGCTTCCCTTCCACCTACCCTTTCTCTTTTGGTTATTCTTTTTGGTTAAAGTTCATCAGATAAGCTTTGTTGTTGTTCAGTCATGTCTGACCCTTCATGACCCTATTTGGGGTTTCTTGGCAGAGATACTGGCTGGGTTTGCCATTTCCTTCTCCAGCTCATTTTACAAATGAGGAAACTGAGGCAAGTATGGGGTAAGCGACTTGCTTAGGGTCACAAAGATAGTAGGTGTCTGAGACCAGAGTTGAATGCGGGAAGATGTCTTCTAACTCCAGGCCCAGGGCTCTATGCACTGTGACGCCCCCTAGCAGTCCCAGTTACAGCTTTAGGCCTTGCTAAAAATTAAAGCATAATGTCTTCGACAGTTGAGTGCAGGAACTTTCTCTATCTCGTCTTCTTATTCTTACAGATTTTTCTGCTTCAGTTTGGTGTATATTTTGTCCCCATTGATAAATTCATAGGTGTTGAATCCTTGATTCTACAAATAAAGAAAAACACATTTCTTTAGTGCTTTAAGATTTGTGGTGCACTTTCCTCATTATTCCAGTTTGACATGTGAGGAGCTCGCTTGATCAAGGTTCTGTGCCTCCCCACGGCCACCTAGTTAGGAAGTGTTGGAACCAAGGCCAGAACTAAGCTCTTTACACTTGAAGATCAACATTCTCTCCATTATGCCATGTCTTCCCTGAATCCAAATGTTTTCTAGTAAAACTATCAAATTTTATTCCAGTGATTGTCATTTTATTTCCAATTGAATATTTCTGTTTTAAAAAGTCAAGTAATATTACTTCATTATGTTGGGTTCTAGGATACAGAGACTAGTTTCTACTCCCCTTCCACTTTGTCTGTACAAAATAAATAGAAAATAAATTAAAAATACTATTGTCACTTATTCAGTCAATAAACATTTACTAAGCACTTACTGTGTGCCAGGCACTGTGTTAAGTGCTGGAATCAGGAGTAGAGGTGGAGGGCAGAGTCCATTTGTATTTGACCATACCTAGCTCAGTGCCTGGCCCTTTCTGAATGACTGAGTGATTCTAACAAATATAAGACTTGTGTTCCCTGTCTCTTTAAAGTGGCATTGGGGGGGGGGGGTGGAGCCAAGATGTTAGAGTGAAAACAGTGACTTGCTTGAGTTCTCCCCCAAACCCCTCCAAATACGTGTAAAAAACTGACTCTAAACAAATTCTAGAGCAGCAGAACCCACAGAAAGACAGAGTGAAACAAATTTCCAGCCTAAGACAACCTGGATGGTTGATTGGAAAGGTCTGTTATGCCAGGCTGGGAGAGGAACGCAGTTCAGCTTGAGCACACAGGCAAAGACCAGACCTCAGAGAACCTGGAGCAGCCCTCAGAGGACTGAATCAGGACAGGCAGCTGTGGCGGTTTCCAGACTTCTCAACCCACAAATGCCAAAGACAACTTAGCAGGTCAGCAGGAGAAGTCTGTGACTGCAGTGAGAAAGAAACTCGGTCCCAGCCCCAGTCCCGGTGCATCTGCAGGGCAACGGCTGCTTCTGGACCTCTCAGCCCCACAAATGGAGGGGGAATCAACTGGCTGATCAGGGGGATTGCAGGAAACTCTTTGCTGGTGCTGAAGCAGGATTCTCTGCTTTGCCCGTGCATGGATTTGGGTAACAGTTCTGGATGGCAATCCTGGGGCGAGAAAGAGCACTGGCATGGTGGACCTTGTAGTAGTGGTGGAGAGGGAATCCTCCTCACAGTTCCAAGGCAGAAAAGAGTGCTTGGGGTCACTCATAGACCAAGCACAGGCCAGGAAAGGAGTAAACACCTTGCCTTTGAACATACCACCTTGAAAGAACTCAAAATTTACCGGTCCCTAGAAGTATCTCTGAAAACAGCTGCACAAAACCCCTGAAGCTTGGGACAGTACATTCTCCCCACTGGAAGCAGACCCTTACCTTACCAAAGAGTTTAAAACTCAAGTAATTGGCTGGGAAAATGAGCAAATGACACAAAAAAAGTTAGGACATAGAATCTTTCTTTGGTGACAAAAAAGATCAAAACATACAACCAGAAGAAGACAGCAAAGTCAAAGCTCCTACATCCAAAGCCTCCAAGAAGAATATGAATTGGTCCCAGGTCATGGAAGAGCTCAAAAAGGATTTTGAGAAACAAGTAAGAGAAGTAGAGGAAAAACTGGGAAAAGAAATGAGAGTGATGCAAGAAAATCATGAAAAACAAGTCAACAGCTTGCTAAAGGCGACCCCCAAAAAATTGAAGAAAATAACACCTTAAAAAATAGCCTAACCCAAATGGCAAAAGAGGTCTAGAAAGCCATCAAGGAGAAGAGTGCCTTAAAAAGCAGAATTGGCCAAATGGAAAAGGAAGTTCAAAAACTCACTGAAGAAAATACTTCCTTAAAAATTAGAATGGAGCAATTAGAAGCTGGTGACTTTATGAGAAATCAAGACATTGTAAAATAAAACCAAAAGAATGAAAAAATAGAAGACAATGTGAAATATCTCATTGGAAAAACAACTGACCTGGAAGATAGATCCAGGAGACACAATTTAAAAATTGTTGGATTATCTGAAAGCCGTGATCATAAAAAGAGCCTAGACGTCATCTTTCAAGAAATTATCAAGAAAAACTGCCCTGATATACTAGAACCAGAGGGCAAAATAGAAATGGAAAGAATCCACCAGTCACCTCCTGAAAGAGATTCCTAAAGGAAAACTCCTAGGAACATTGTAGCCAAATTCCAGAGTTCCCAGGTCAAGGAGAAAATATTACAAGCAGCCAGAAAGAAACAGTTCAAGTGTTGTGGAAACACAATCAGGATAACACAAGATTTAGCAGCTTCTACATTAGGGGACCAGAGGACTTGGAATATAATATTCCAGAGGTCAAAGGAGATAGGATTACAGCCAAGAATCACCTACCCAGCAAAACTGAGTATAAACCTTCAGGGGGTAAAAAATGAACATTCAGTGAAATAGAGGACTTTCAAGAATTCTTGATGAAAAGACCAGAGCTGAATAGAAAATTCAACTTTGAAATACAAGACTCAAGAGAAGCATGAAGAGGTAAACAGGAAAGAGAAATCATAAGGGACTTATTAAGGTTGAACTGTTTTGCATGGAAAGATGATATTTGTAACTCATGGGACCTTTATCAGTTGGGTAGTTGGAGGGAAAAAAATTATATGTATGTATATATAGATAGATAGAGGGCACAGGGTGAACTGAAGATGAAGGGGTGATATCTGGAGAATAAAATTAAGGGGTGAGAGGATTATACTGGGAGAAGGAGAAAGGGAGAGGTAGAATGGGGTAAATTATCTCACATAAAACAGACAAGAAAAGGTTTTTACAGTGTAAGGGAAACGGGGAAAGGTGAGAGGGAATGAGTGAATCTTATTCTCATCGGATTTGGCTTAAGGAAGGAATAACACACACTCAATTGGGTATGGAAATCTATCTTACCCTACAGGAAAATAGGGAGGAACGGGATAAGACAGGAAGGGGATGATAGAGAGGAGGGGGTAATCAAAAGCAAACACTGCTAAGAAGGGACAGGGTCAAAAGAGAGAATAGAATAAATGGGGGGTAGGATAGGATGAAGGGAAATATAGTTAGTTTTTCACAACATGACTACTATGGAAGTGTTTTGCCTGACTGCATATATATAACCTATATCGAGTTGCTTGTCTTCTCAATGAGAGTGGGTGGGGAGGGAGGAAGGGAGAAAATTTGGAACCCAAAGTTTTAAAAACAAATGTTAAAAATTGTTTTCATATGCAACTGGGAAATAAGATATACAAGCAATGGGGTATAGAAATCTATCCTGTCCTACAGGAAAATAGAAGAGGAAGGTAATAAGAGAAGGGGGGGTAGGGATAGAAAAGAGGGCAGATTAGGGGAAGGGGTATTCAGAATGCATGCCATCTTGGGGTGGGGGGAGGAATGAGATGGGGAGAAAATTTGGAACTCAAAGTCTTGTGGAAGTGAATGTTGAAAACTAAAAATAAATAATTTAATGAGAAAAAAAAACCCACCACAAAACCACCTAACCATTTCCATATTACTTTAACATTGTTAACCCTTTGGGTACCAGTCCATTTACAAATCTAATCATATAACAAGTAAAAATTTTATATTTATTTGTTCAATTGAAATTTGTTTTGCATTAACTTATAATGTTTTATGAATAAAAAGGTCTTGAGATAAAATCTGTTAGTAAAATTGAAAAAAGAAAAATAAAGTGGCATTGGGCGCATCGATGGTGCTTTGTAGGATAACTAAAGGGCATTTTCTAGGAGATAAGTGGTTCTTACATTAGTGGCTTTCATTAATTCTTTTCTTACAACTAATAATAAAAAGAACAATTTATAGACTAGATGTAATTTACAAATCAATTCCAATTCAATAAGAAATGTCATGAAAATTTTATCATGATATTTTATCCCTTGTAGCTAAACTCTTAAAAGTATTTGCCAGGTTAAAATTCTTCAAGAGTCTAAACCAGTGTGATTTGGGTGACATTTACAATGATTTTGTGTTAACTCATATTGCAGAAAATACTTTTCATCATTCAAATTAGGGTGTTTGGTAGATAAACTTATTCCAGTGTGAGGGTTTGCTGTTCCTTAAAAATAAGTAATACTGAGCAACTTTCTGTTTTTTTAGGGATGGATTAAAGCTTGAAACAGAATTTTTGGATGGGAAAACAAAGCTAATATTGGCTTCATATGGTATGGTATTTTTATAACTATAATTGGCATTAATATTTTAGAAGCTTGTCCAAATATATGTAGGAAACAAAAAATTCTATATAAGTTGAATTTTAAATGAATGCCTTGTTTTTATATTTGGTACTGTTTTACTTTTATTAAATCTAGCTTGGGGTTATGGCTGTTTATATTTCTACTTTTAAAATACTAGTAATGTCCCTCAGTGCTTGAGAATTTGCTTTTATTGGGCTAATTAAATTAAGTTTTAGACTATGACTTGATGTATTTTACCATTAGTACTGGTGAATTTCCAGTATTTAATATGGTTTGTGAGATGTTGTATACATTAGCTTTGGGAGTAGGGTATCTTCCTGTTTCCTGATGAGTAACAAATGAAATTTAATTCCACATTTATGTTTTTGCATGTAGAGATTTATTGAATTTTAGGCAGCTTAGTGTTTATTATCTCATGATCACACTTGGCTGCTGAACTGTTGTATGCATTTTCTACCTTTGATTTATGTTATAATAAAATAATAAATGTCAAATTATTTTGGCAAAGCCTTCACTTGTCATTTCTCTGTCATAGAGAATTACTATCATTAATACGTTATATATTCCCTCCCATGGAATTCTCTGCCCTTTTCTATTTATAGACTAGTATTACCTTATTACTTGAAAAATGAGTAGGATGGACAATAATGCGAAAATAGCCTTCCATGGCTTCCAGACAATTATCATTTTACTTAAAGACAGTCTTTTTTTTTTCCCTTTTAAGTATGCACACGATGTTAGGATTTCAGGTTCTTTTGTCAGGGAATTATGTTATTCTTGAGCTATCCTGATTTATAAGCCCTAATGTTAAATAATGAAATAATGCTTATTCAGGTAACAGTAGAAACCAAGCCACTTCTCAGAGAAGAGCTATAGTTATATTTTTTTAAGCTAAGATTTCTACCTTGAATATATATTTAAATTCATTTTGATAAAATGTTTTCTGTCAGTGTCTTAACATTTTTTTGTTATTGATAATTTATTTTTTTCTTTCTCTTTTGTAGAACGTAAACCAAAAACTGCCGTGAAGGTAAGCAAAATAATTTTTGCTTTGCCTCTTTGACAAGTGTCAAATGCAGTTCTTTAAAATCATTTAAGTTTTACATTTAGAATAAGAGGATATTTGGAGGAAGTATGATTTCAGGGGAAAAGAAAATGATCTTTTTTCTGACGTCCTTGTTCATGTCCAGCAGACAGTAAAGCAGGACTAGTGTTCAGGGGATGGATTAAGATGAGCAGATAAGTCCCTGAGTCATCTCTGTAGAAACGATGGTTGGATCCATGAGAGCTGTTTAAATTACCAGTGTAGGAGGCCTCATGACAGAGCCTTCTGGGATGACCATCCTTGGGGGCAGGACAGAAGTGGTGGTGCAGCAAAGGAGCCAGAGAAGGGAGCTGGTGAAAGGAAGACCAAGAGAGCGGCAGCACAGAAGCCAAGGGAGGAGAGGGTCCAAGAGTGAGGGCAGAGCTGAGAGTGTCAGAGCCCCCAAAGTGTCAAGTAGAATGGCCGCCGGAAAGGCCATGAACCTTGCACCATATTTTCCAACATATTTTTTCATTCCCCGCCTCTCCCCATCCCATCTTGCTCCTTGGGTTGATGTGATGTCCCCCGCACGTGATGTATGCATTGATTTGGATTGGAGAATCTTGGATGGTGCCTTGTAGAATGTCTCTGCCCCTTCGTTCTTTGGAGTAGATTGCTGGTGTGCAAGTTGCAGTGATTTCCTTGGTGATCTTTTTGCTTATGCTTATCATGAGCTCTGCGAGATGAGTTGGCCACAGGATCCACAAAATGATGTTGCTTCTTGCCTTTGGATACATGATAAAATCAACCCTGCCAAGTCTTGTCTTTGCCTCTCCAAGGAGAACCTTGAGACTTTGATTTACTTGGAGCTTCTTATGTGTTCTGATTTATCTAACAAGAATATTAACTTTGGAGTGGTTTGTTTCCACTAGTTATACCCAGGGTCTTTGATTACTTATAAGGATCTCACGCATAAGAATATCAGCAGTAAAAAACAGTGTTTATTAACAGTCTAAATACTGTATGATTCTCAGCATTAGGGAAGAAACCAGCATGGGACCAAGGGCCATTTTGTATTTTTCTTTGTTTCATGGCTTGCCGTGGCCCAAGAATTCATCATCTGATTGCTAACATACTTAGACTGGGCTGCAGACACAGCCTACTGCCCTCAGACTTCCCAGCTTGGTAAAACCTGTTGTAGTTTGTATTCTATTTACATAGGCTTCCAGAACCCAACGTCATGATGGACCAGTGGCATTGGCGTAGGAATTTTCTGGAGGATATCTAGATTACTGAGACTTGAATGTTAAAGTTATAGTCAATTCATAGCTCTGTTGTTCTTATCTCATTTGAGTCGGACCCTCACACACATTATCAGGTAGCTTTCTAGGGGAGGTGGAGCTTAAATTGGGTCCTAAAGGATCAGGAGGATGTGCATGAGTAGAAAGAGAAAGGACAATGCAGACCAAGAAAACTGCACAAATCAGGGCATGAAAGCGGGGGGAGGGGGGAGCACGAGGTGTTCCAGGAGGCAGTGAGGAAAATCTGCTGAAGCAGACGGCCCAGGCTCTGGGACATGGGGGTTATGGGAGAGCCTGGCTGCAAGATGGAGCATCTGGGCGGGGAGGGGCGGGAAGGTGTGTGGGGGTTAGACTTGATTTGTTAAGGACTGTTTCAGTTTCCTGATCAAGATAAAAGTCAGAAGCATAGAGACTAATTGGAACCTAGCCACAGTAATCCAGGGGTAAAACAGTAATAGTCTGGTCTCAGGGTTTTACCAGTGAGAAGCAAGAAATTTTAGAAATACAAAACACCAGCACTTCATGCCTTAAAAAGGATGTGATAATAAAGAATACAGAGTGATTCCAGGGTTTCCAGGTTCCATTTTTCTGGACTAGAAAAATGGTGGTGTCCCTTGTTTGGGGGTTTGGAGAGAGGGTGACAAGAGAAATGTCCTAGAGGCAGCTGGAAATCAAGTTCTTTCCCACTTCCCAAAAATTAAATAGTCAGCTGATCTGTTACTGTTGGTGCCACCTTTAAGTGAAACTGTCTACAGGTTAAGGAGCAGTGTCTGTTGTATGGCCTTAGATATTTGTAAACACAATGCAGATCTTAAGAAACTGGAAGAAAATGAAAGAATCAGTGTCCGATAGGAAAGTTGTCTGTAAATCATGTGACTAAATAGCATAAAGAACAAATTTGGCAGACTGATCACACAGAAGGCTTCTGGCTTGTTGCTATGCATTTCATGTTGCTTTTCACATAAGAATATAACTGCAATGTTTTAACAGATGGGAAATAAGGCCAAGATTCCAAAACAGCCTTTGAGAACACCACCGACTGGACATGTTCTTAAATCTACACAAAATACCAATGGCAGAAATGAAAACCTTTCACAGAAAAGTAGAACTGCTTCTGAAGCCTCACTGGTAAAAGGGGATAAAAGGATGATTTTCTCACCAACTACGAGTTTCTCAAAGGAAGACACAGATAATGACCATCCTTGTGTGCAGAGAAACATTCCAGCTGAAACCCCTGACTCATGGAGGACTAAAAATTACAAACAGTCGGCAGTATTTAAACAGAAACCTCAGGAAAAGCACCTCACAGTTGAAGATCTAAGGAATAGTTTGGTTTGTCTGACAGAGGAACAGCTCCAACAGATTTTGATGGCCGTCAGCCAAGGAAATAGGCCTATTTCACAGATTGAGAATGGAAAGAAAGAAGAAAAATGTAAGCTTTTTGTGAAGTCTTATGAATTTAAGTTTAGAGAATGTGCTCAAATTTACAGAATTAGAATTCTACCTTCATGCACTTATAGTCTTAAGATTAAATTACTGTAGCGTCTGTTATCTCTACATTTAGCATACCAGCATTACTTAGAAGTGAGAGGTTGAATGGATAATCCAGAATTCATTAGTGTTTGTTTTTATACTCATATGTGAATGTTCATGGTTAGGCTATTCTGCGAAATCAGAGTCCTAATAAATAGTGAAGCCTTGTTAGAAAAAAACTTGTCTAACAGGAGCTTTCAAAAGCTTCCTCATCTTGCTGCCATTTTTCTCCCTGACCCTCCCTCTCCTCCTCTTTCATGTAATCTCCTAAATGTACATGCTGTACACACATTCTCTCTCTGACAGATTAAGAAGAACATCTGGGCTTTCCAAGTTTTCTGGCTCCTATGCTCCTTGGGACCGTGGAAATAATTCTCTTTCTAGCCTGAACTTATAATGTGACTGCTATTTGAGAAGAAAAGGATGGGAACAGTGACAACAGAGAATTTATTCTATGTGGACTGAGAATGTCTTGCAAAAAAAATTGCAAATTATCTGGACAGAACTAGACACTGATTGTATTTGAGAAAGTTTTTAAATCAAAATACACAAATATATCAACCATATAGAAAACATATGGTATACATATGAGAAGAGAAATCCAATATTCATTTTAAAGCATATGTTTTATTTTCCTAGGTCAAAATAACTCACATTTTAACCATTTGCCTAATGAGTCAAAAGATGAGAATGTTAAGGGATTACTTCAGAAAGCTGAAAATGTTTCACCTATCCCAGATGAAAATAACTCTATTTTAAACAAAAAACAGAAGACATCTAAGCAGTGTGAGCAGAAAATTGCCATGTATGTAACTTTTTTCTGTTATTATTATTGGACCTGTGTACAACAAGGCTGTGCTTGTCTCTTATGGGTATGGGTGGTCATTATTCTGGATGCCTGAAATTATGTAAAAGACTGGTTTGGCATTCCTGGTACAGATTTTACAAAAGTGCATAGAAGTAAGATTGCTCTGTTTTTCTTTTTCCTAGAAAGTCCGTATGGAAACCAGCTGATATGTTCAGTACTCTGGGGGAGAGAGAGAGAGAGAAAAGTTTGTTGGAAGCAAAGAAATTCCAGTGGAGGAAGGAGCTAGGTACATATTCTGTGTCATTTTTTATTTAACTTTTAGTTATAATTTTGTTGACTTTAATACTGTCAGTTGGCTGAGCAAACTGAATTTTGGAGTATGATATAAAAGTCTTACTGTAGCAGTTCACCAAGCATGTAGCAACTCCCTTCGATTTGGAAGGCTTCATGTTGGGCACCAAGGAGCTTATGTTTTACTGGAGGATATAACATCAGTAAACAGGTAACTAAATAGAACCTAACTGGAGGAAAGAGCCAACATTGTTCAGGAAAGGCTTCTCACAGGAGGTGGCCCCTAAGCTGGGCATTGGAAGCCAGGAATTCTAAGAAGTAGAAGAAAGGAGGAAGAACCTTCTGGGCCTAGGGAGCAGCATCTGCAAAGGCCAGTTGGGCCAGTGAGGAGTCACGTGGAAGGGAGGCAGGAACCCAGTAGGGAAGGACTTGACAGGCCCAGCTTAGATGAGGCGGCAGCCTGTTCCTGTTCTTTTTTTTTTTTTTTTTTTTTTTTGCGAAGCAATTGGGGTTAAGTGACTTGCCCAGGATCACACAGCTAGTGAGTATCAAGTGTCTGGTCTGAGACTGGATTTGAACTCAGGTCCTCCTGACTCCAGGGCTGGTGCACTGCGCCACCTAGCTGCCCCTGGTGGCCTGTTTTAGAAGAGGACTGTGAGCGACATGGTCCGAGTCATGTTTTAGGGAGATGGCTTTGACTGCCTGAGAGGGCTGAGGCTGGAGGCAGGGAGCCCCAGGAGAGGCCAGTCAGCTGACATTTCTGAAGCTGTGACTAATGGGGGCCTGCATCAGAGCGGTAGTCATGTGTGTGGAGAGAAAGGGACAGAGAGGAAGGATGGTGTACAGAGAAAGCTGGCAGAATCGAGTAACAGCTTGGAGACAAGGGAAGAGGTCAGAGTCAGGGGTGACTCTGGGAACAGGCGAGTTGGGGGAAGGGAAGGTGGTTCCAGGAGGAAGATAAAGAGTTGTGTGTTGGGACTTTTCATGCCCTGAGTTCCTGCACTCTGCTGGATGTCCCTAAATCCAGAGGTAAGCCTCCACTAGCTGGCCCATTTAGCCATTCTGTGCGGGCATGCCTCTGGACCCCCCGCAGCTCCAGCTGCGTTAGCTCCAGGCCAGCCGAGGAGATGGGAGCTGAACTGCTAGAGGCCTTGGGGCCTTGCAGGGAGGCTTACGCACACACCTCAATCTCTGATGAACCTTTAATGCCCCTGAGGCTCTTAACCCTGCTAGAGCAAGGAGCTTGGGAAAAGAGGCCTCAGAAAGAGTTAGCTGGCAGGTGGGGGAGGTGGGGTGGGGTGGGGAAAGGAGAGAAAAGGGGGGGGGAGAAGAAGGGATGAAGAGAGAGGGGAGGGAAGAAAGAGGGAGCCAGAGCTGGAGTGGATGGGTAATAGAATTGGGAGAGAACCAGGAAAGAAGGGCGAGATTACCGTCAGAGGGTTTGAGGAGTGTCACGTCACAATTTTGTGATTAAATACTTTTCTGTATCATAGTTATACTTTTTTAAAGATGTGCTTGAAAAAGTCCTTGTGATTCGTGAACACCCTGACGAAAGAGCCTCTGCGTCTGTTTGCACAAGCTTAGCCCTGGAAATGCCCCCTTAAGCTAGTTTGCCACACTGCTCTGTCTTCATGTGCTGCCAGGTGCATGTTACCATGCAAGTCACCCAGCAGTGGTTCAGTGTTTTCAGGAAACCAATTTCCCAGGCTCACTGATTCATGACTGCCAGGGCAGTCAGCACTCTCTGCTGACCATGGCAAGGCAGAAAGACACTACGTTTTAGCACCCTGTGCTGTTCACTCAGTGTTTGATCTTGATTGATGTCTAATTCTAATAGCATGTTCTCTTGCATCCTAATTTTTCTTTGAAAATTTATGTATTTATTCTGTTAACTTCAGTGTTCATCTTCACAACCCCATTCCTTGACCATTTAGGATAACAGATGAGAAAAAAATTAAATATGACCATTATCTTGAATAAGCGCCAATCAAAGAAATTGCAGTTAGGAAAATAAACTCCCCAGACTCTCTTCTGAGTTCACGCCTCCGGTAAATAAGACGAGTTTTGATCAGCAGATTTAAGTTCTTTAGAAAGTTCTTTAGGATCATTATTTTTGTCATAGAAATGTACCTCCTTTCACTTTTTTGCACATTTTATGAAAAGAGCATTATTATTTAAAGATGAACAGGTTGCTTTAAAGAAGAAAGAAAAGGAAGCTTCTGAAGAGCAGAAGAAACGCCCCTGGGGCAGGTCTGGGGATGCTAAACTGGTTTGGGATGGTTTCCAAAAGGTGGAGGGATCACAGGTAAGGACAACCTTACATGGTGGGCACACTAGCACAACAGATACTTTTCATTTCAGTTTGTCCTGATGCTAAGCTGTGCTCTTCTCCTCAACTTCTCCACGTGTTTATGTGATGGGTTTTTTTTTGTTTGGTTTTTTTTTTTTTACTTTTTTGGTTAGGCAGTGGGGTTAAGTGACTTGCCCAGGGTCACACAGCTAGTGAGTGTCAAGTGTGCTGGGTCTGAGACCGGATTTGGACTCAGGTCCTCCTGAATCCAGGGCTGGTGCTCTATCCACTGCGCCACCTAGCTGCCCCTTATGTGATGTTTTTTAAAAATAATGATGCCATCTCCCAGAACTGCCCCCGCCCATGAGGCCTCTCTTTTTACCAAGAAGCACAGTCCAATCAGACAAGCCCGCTGGACAGCACCAACATGTGCTGCCTCTGCCAAGGGAAGAGTTGGCATCCAAATTACCTTCCACAAGACATTTAAAAGTGTGGGGATTTAGGTGGTCTGTTTAACGATTCCATTTCTTCATTCTCTGTGTCGCTACAGTGCCTGGCACCGACTCTTCCTCTTAACTTTGTCCTCGGCTTCAGGTGCTGCGTGCCTAGCACTGTGCTGGGTGCCAGGAAGTGGGGAGGGCTTAGACCCGAAGCAGACAGTGTAGTCACTGCCCAGTTGGGGAGCAGGGATTCACAAAGCAAGAGAAGAACAGAAAAGCGGAAAGGGGCTTAGCCTGGAACCGGGGTCGAAGACCCAGGTTCAGATCCTACCTCTGATGACCTCTGACCTTGGGCAGCTCACCTCCCTTTCCTGCGCCTCATTCTCCCCATCTCTGAGATAAGAGGGTAGATACTAGACAGCTGCACAACTTCCTTTCAGCTCCAAACCTGAGATTCTCTTAATTCTAGATTCCGATTCTAGATTCTCTAATGATAGTGGGTCATCGGGGCTGGAGCACACGGTAGAGACCACCCCGGCTCCTCTGGGGATGGAGGGGAGCCAGCCTCGGCAGGGGAGCCGATGCCAGGCAGACAAAGCTTCCTGACGAGTGAAGTGCCTGGGACGCTCTGGGACGGTCAGTGGCCTTGCCTCCTTCTGGAGGCCCCGCCGCTCCCCTGGCTCCTGGCTCGGCGTTGGCTTAGCTTGGTTTTGTTTTCTCTCATCTTTAGGCTTGTTCCGTGTCGTCTGCAGGACACGGTGCCTAACGCTTGTTCCTTTTCTCCCCAGTCCTCAATGAGTCCATCTAGTGTTCTCTCAGGGTCGCCCAGTCCAAGGCTGCTGGCCCATCCTAGCGGGGTCTCCGTGCCTGGATCCAGTCAGACTCTGGAGGTGAGTCTGTAAGTGTTCGCGTGGGGGAACGTAGGACTGAAGGCCAGAGGGGACCTCAGGAATCGCCTCATCCGTACCGGCTGCCCGAGTTCACAGGGACAGCAAGGGTCAGAGCTCCTGGGATTCAGAATCAGGCAGCTTGGTGACACGGTGCTGGATAGAGCTCAGGGCTTGGAGGCAGAAAGAACTGCATTCAGATCTGACCTCAGACGTTGCAGTAGCTGCCGGCAGGCGTGCCGTGCGGGCCTGAAGTCTCTCCCCATTGTGGCCCACCCTCCGTTCAGCCGCTAAAGCGCTTGCCCTCGGGCGCTGATCCAGCCGTGTCACCTCCCCACTCAGTAAACTCTGGTGGCTCCCTTTTGCCTCCAGGATCACATGCAGAACGCTGTTCGGCCTTCAAAGCCCTTTGTAACCCGGCCAGTCTTCTGACGCCTTGCTTAACCAGCACATGCTCTTCGGTCCAGTGACGCTGGCCTCCTAGCTGTTCTGTGAACAAGACCCTTCATCTGTGGGCTCTGGGCTTTCTCTCTGGCTGCCCCCCATGCCTAGCCCATGCCTAGCATGCTCTCCTCATCTCTGCCTACTGACCTCTCTGGCTTCCTTGGCCCCATCTAAACAGGGCAGCTAAGGGGCACAGCGGATAGAGCGCCAGGCCTGGAGTCAGGAAGACCCGAGTTCAAATCTGGCCTCAACACTTATTAGCTGGGTGACCCTGGGCAAGTCACTTCACCCTGTTTGTCTCAGTTTCCTCATCTGTCAGATGAGCTGGAGAAGATGGCCAACCAGCAGCTTTGCCCCAAAAAACCCAAACGGGGTCACAGAGAGTCTTACACAACTGAAAATGACTAAACTAAAAATCCCACCTCCTACATGAAGCCTTTCTCAACCTGTCTCAACTTTCATGCCTTCCTTCTGTTAATTATTCCCTATTTATCCTGTCTAGAGCCTGTTTGTACATATTTGTTTGCATCGTGTCTCCCCCATTCAATTGTAAGCCCCTTGAGAACAGCAGCTTTCTTTCTTTTTGTACCCCTATTGCTTAGCACAGTGCCTGGCACATAGTAGGGGCTTAATAAATGTTTATTGAATTGAAAGACACTAGCATTGTGATCCTGGGCAAGGCACTAAACCTATATGTGCCTCATTTTCTTCACCTGTAAAATGGGGTTATGAGCACACCCACATCACGGGGTTTTTGTGAGGATCAGATGAGATAATGTTTGTAAAGCACTTAGCACGGAGCTTGGTATAGAGTAGGTGCTTAATAAATGCTTATTTCTTTCCAAATCAAGTACTCTTCCCACTGTGCAATATTGCTTTTTTTTTTTTTTTTTTTGTCCTACCGCAACATATAGCATAGTGTTTAGCAGATAGGACAACTTCCATTTCTATCTGTCTTTATAATTTACAGAGCCTTTCCTCCTAACAACCCTGTGAGCTGGGTAATGCAAGTATGATCATTAATCCCATTTCAAAGATGAGGAGACTGAGGCTCGGGAGTTCAGTGATTTCATCGCAAGTACACAGCTCATCAGTGTCAGGGCTGGAATCCAGAGCCAGGGCCCTTTTCACCATAGTCTGTGTCAGGCGTCTAAGTTTGTAGCTATTGATCATTTAAATGATGAGGGAAAAAAAGCCAGTGCTGAGAGGCCTGAGCCCAGGAGAGTACTGCTCATTGTCAGTGCAGTTCAGCCTGTGGCACTATCTTGGTGCCTTTCATACATCTTGAAAATGAGCAGCGTTTCATTTCAACACTGGCCTCCTGGCTTCTTTGTCCTATCAGAAAAGCAGCAATGAGGAAGGCCTGGCATGAGCCCTCCTGACTAGGCCACACTGAGTCTGTGGGGTCACCACTTCCTTTTCTACACTCCTAGAGACCACCCAGTTGGTGATGCATCTCGAGTCTTTCCAGCGTCCACCTTTTGAGGTGGATGTGTTCCCCAGACCATCCCAGAACCCTTTAGGACAACTGGGCAGCAAGAGGTGTTCTTCTGTCCTTGCCTTCCCCTTGGTCTTACGTGGCTTAGATGAGATGGGAGTTAACAGCCGTGTTCTTCCTGTGAGAGGAGAGCCCCCAGGCCTTCCCGTGGGCCCCGCCCCCTGCTTGGCCTCAGAACCCCTACACCTTGCTGTCTGCCTTCCCTCTCCCCAGGGCACTTGGGGCCTTTCCCTCTGCCCTTTGGCTTCACTTTCTTTTATGGGTTGTTTGCCCCTGTTAGAGTGTGAGCTCCTTGAGGGGAGGGGCTGTCTCACTTTTCTCTGTTTATCTTCAGGGCTTGCCACATTGTGAGTGCTTAGTTAATGCTTTCTCATTCATTCATCACCGTCTTTTTCTACCCTTTCTTTGTTCCTTGACAACACCTCTTCTCTGAACAGAAGACTGCCTAGTCTCCAAGTCCAGCGCTGACCTCTCTCCCAAGCCCCAGGCCTCCGTCTGTTACTTCCCAGAATTCATCTCTCTCGGACAGAGCCCATCCAGTGCCCACTCTGTCCCTTCTCCCCTGAGCTGGCTTCTCCTTGTGCCTTAGTCTCGCCATTCACACTCCCATGCTCCAAACCGTGATGTTTCCTCCAACAGTATCTTGCGTCTCTGGCCCTGCCACTCTTTTCCCATTGCCACCACTTCAGAGCAGGCCTTCATTCTCACCTACCTGAAATATGACATGGCCTTCTCCCCTTCCTGTCTTGTTTTAAATAAGTTTTTATTGAAGTCTCTTGTGGCTTACATCATCATGGTTTTCCCCAAGATCCATCTGTCTTACAGTTGGCTACCAAGTTATGCATGGGATCTGGACATATCCCTCTATTCAATAGCTGTCTGCAGTTACCAACTAAAACTCGGATATGTAAACCTGGTATTTGAGGCCGTCCCTAATGAGAAAATACTTGGGTTCCAGAGGTCAGCAGTACTTAGCTCTCCCGGTAAGAAGTGCTGCCCTCTGAGGTGGCGCCTGCTGGAGACTCACCACCTTGGCTTGCAGCACTTCCTCCTGCCTCACCTGGAGGAGCTGGCCTGGCCTGCCTGCCTCACTTTCCTGGTCCACCAGTTGAATTCCTGCCCATCAGTCAGCAAGCACTTATCAGAGACCTACTGTGCCAGACACTAGAGATGCAAAAACAGTAGAGTCCCTACTCTCAAGGAATTTATATCCTACCAGAGCCAAAATGAGGCAGCGAGGTGGCTCAGTGGATAGAGCACTGGGCCTAGAGTCGGGAAGACCTGAGTTCAAATCCAGCCTCAGACTCATGCTAGCTTTATGATCCTGGGCAAGTTATGTAACCTCTGTTTGCCTTAATCCGCTGGAAAAGGAAATGGCAAACCACTTGAGTATCTTTACCAGGGGAACCGCATAGACCGTGCTGTAGTCCACAGGGTCAGGAAGAGTCAGACGGGACTGAATAACTAAACAACAGCAAGGGCCAAAGTGTAACTGTGTAGGAATATAGAAGACCCGTGTGAAGCAGAGAAAAAGTCAACCCAGAGGAGAGGTCACCAGGAGCTTGGGGTACAAGGAGGCGGGTCCGGGACCAGCCTGTAGGACGTGGAGGGGAAAGAATCCCTCCCAGGATCGGGGGACAGAGGCAGGAGAGGGAGCAGACCAGGACTGCTGGATTGCGGGGTGCAGAGGAGAAGACGGAAGAGACAGCAGGGAGCCAAGCTGTCACCGAGCCTCTGGTGGGGGCAGCTGTCTCGGCAGACAGTCCACAGCACACAGTAGGCATTTAATCAAGGTGTTTATTAAGCACTTACTATCTGCCAGGCACTGACCCAAGCTCTGAGGAGACAGAGAAGTGATTTTGTCTGGGAACGTCTCTTCTCACAGTGATGAGAAGGGCCAGACCTGAGGCTGCAGGGCTGTTGAACTTCCCAGATCCAGTGTTTACGTGTTCATAGCAATATCTGTTGTTTAATTTGAAAAGACTCTTAGGTGGGGCAGGGTTGTTTTCTTTTTTCTTATGAACAGTTTCCATGTGGGTGTTTCGCCCCTTTGTTCTTTTTTTATCCACAGATGACATCTCCGGCTGAGTTTACCTCTGCTGCTGATGAGGCCCAGGGGGTAACGAATGTTTCAAGGGGAGGATCAGCCATCCCCGAAAGCTGCTGTGGAGCCCGTGGGAAGCCCTCGACCTTCAGTCCTCCAGATGTGCCAGCAGCCATTCGGACGGCCTTTGTCTTAGGGGTGAGGCTTTGCAGTGTCCTGATGTCTTCTTGGTCCTTCTGCCCCTTCAAGGCTGTCTTCCATCAGGATTTCTTCATGCATGTGTTAAACCCCTATAGACTTACTTAGAAGACTTTCCATCGACTGTGTCTGTGTCTGGTAGGTTCGTGCTGATGCTCCCCATCGGAATGTGAGCTCCTGGAGGAAAGGGGCTGTCTGAACCTCGTTCATTTGTTGTGTAGCACAATGCCCCTAATAAGGGCCCGTGCACCGGCCTGGTAGTGGTCAGCGTTTGTGAAGCACGTATGTGCAAAACCTGGACTAAGCACTGGGGGTCCGAAGGCAAAAGGCAAAACTGTGCCCTGCCCTGAAGAAGCACATGTTCTCCATGGCTGGAACAGCACACCGCCAGCTAGGAAGGCCTGCGAAGGGACCGGGATGACAAATGTCCACTGAGGTGGACGACAGGGGACAAGTCTGCCCCGTGCCCAGTGCAGGTGGACAAGAGGCCCTGAGCGGGACAAGGAGCTTCAGGGGCTCCTGTCTGCACGAGACATTGTGCTGACCACGTCCGGCTCGGCAGCCTGGCCGCTCGGCAGGGCTGCCCCAGTGAGATCCACGAGCTTATCCGAAAGAGGAAAACCAGGAGATGGTGAATGCCTCCTGAGGCCATATATTGTGGACAGAGGCCATGGGTGCACAGTGAGTTGGCGCCAGAAGCTGGTAGGAGACTCACAGGAAATCACAAGAGAGCGTAGATTGGGAGTTGGCGGGGACCTCAGAGGTCACCGAGTGCAGGGAAGGAGAGGCCCACGGTCACACTGCAGGGAAGGAGAGGCCCACGGTCACACAGCAAGGAAGGCTTTGAGGTGGGCTTTGGGTTTTTGGTAGGAGTGCTTATTGTTGTTGGGGTTTGGGTGATTGTTTTTTTTACCAGAAAGGGTTTTATTTCAGTAGAAAATTCGTGCAGAGAACTGAACCTCGGTCCCATGAAAAAATGTTTACTGCATCTTAAATAAAATTTAGCAATTCAGGCAGCTCTCTGAGGGGAAGCAAAGGGAAGAAAATTTACCGCTCTCAGCTGCTTTGGCTTATCCTCCCTGCCACATCAGAGGGGGTTCTGGGCGTGGCCTGGAGCAGCGCCTTCCTGAGAGCAGGCTGGTTCTGGGGACCCCACCTCCCGAATGTTTAGCTAAGAGCTGCCGCCATAGTCATCACAAAATGTATGCATAGACTCAGCACATTGGTCTTTTTAGCCACTCTTAGAGACAGGCAAATGCCATTTCACATGTGAAGGATAACATACCTATCAGAAAAGGTTTGTTATGTAGAAAAATCTCATTGCTTGGTGTCCCAAGACCTTCCCCTTTGTTTACATTGACACACAGCTCAGTGAAGGCCAGACCCGTAGATGGCAGTGGGATGGGGGCGTCCTGTGCGTGGCTGTCAGTCACGTGGGACGCAAGCACAGAGAAAAGCAGGGAATGAGGGAGTGGAGAAAGGCCTTCTCTGCTAGGTTACTAGAACTAGAAGGAGCTCGGAGTGCTCGAGGACCAGGTGGGAAAACAAGCTGGGGTCTTTTTTTTTTTCCGTTTGATGAGGCAGTTGGGGTTAAGTGACTTGCCCAAGGTCGCACAGCTACTAAGGGTCATGTGTCTGAGGCTGGATTTGAACCCAGGTCTTCCTGACTCCACCTAGCTGCTGCAGCAAGGCGAGTTGTGATCGGCTCCAGCTCTTGCCACCATGGAACCACAGAGCGGGTATGGGGTGCGTGCGTGTGAGTGTGTGTGTGTGTGTGTGTGTGTGTGTACACACTTTGGCGTAGATACAGTCTTGATTTTTTTTTTTATCCAAAATTCAAGAAGCCAGTGGGTTGTGATATGAGGAAGGTACCAAGTGAGGGGGATGAAAGGAAGGGGCTGCCCAGAAAAGAACTTTACAGCAGCTTCTTGGCCTCAGAGAAACTCTTGCAACGTTGCGTTTACCCCGTGCCGGTGAGGATGAGGGTGACGGTCTGAGCGGACCCCCATAGCACTCCTGACTGGTGCTCTCGCCATTCCTCATGATAACTGCCAGTCGTTCTGTTCTTCTGGGTCCGTTCTACCTGATCAAGCAGCTGACGGGCACAGAGTTGTAGCTCTCTCGGGTGGTTGTTACATGTTCATCAACCATGTGTCTAGGAATACACGTAGCTTGTTGCCTGCAAAGATTGTCACTAGGGTCAAGCTGGATGGTGACGGGCGTGGAGGCGAAGGCCAGTCAGCTCTTGGAGTCATCGGGCTCTGATCACACCTGTCCGTCGGCTCCTTCACCTCCACGTGCATCCCCGGTGTCGGGACGCAGAGCAAGGTGGTGTCTGTCTGCTCATCCCACGACTGCAGTAGTAACTCCTGAGGACCAAGACTCATCTCAAATCTCCTCAGCAAAGCAGCCCTTCTACCTCTGTCCAGTGTAGAAACTGAGACCTGCACCGAAGCCCAGCCCGGAGCCGCAGCAGCACCCACTGCCACGTGAGCCCTGGCTGCAAGGCCAGTGCTGTGCCCACACGTGCTGCCTTGAGAGAGGAGGCCAAAGCCCTCTGGGGAAATGGCACAGTGCTTTTAATGATCCCCAGCTTCTCTGGAAGCTAGGGCTCCTGTTTAACGCTAGTGGTTCTCCTGTGATAGTACATGGCTGCCACATGCGAAAACCATAGTGTCATAGAGGGGCAGATGGTCTGCCTGTATGAAGGCCCAGTAAGGAAGCCGCAGCTTGTTTCCAGTGGAATATTGCACAGGATAAGCATTATGAAAACATAAGGCAAAGGATATGCACTGGTCATGTCAGACAATTAAGAAGCAGACAGTGTGCCAGGCTACTCCCCTAGGATGATGTACACACTATCAAGGGGTCTGAAAAATAAAAAGGCCTTCAGCATGTTAGGTGAGCTCCTGTGGAGGATTGTTAAGAGACCATGAACAAGAATCAGTCGGGATAAGAAAGATTGGATGGATTGGAAGAAGCACTGTGCTTGTGAAATCCTAGGTCCACGCAAGGAAAAATTGTGTAAAGACGAGAGCAGGCATAAGGGTCAGTATTTATACACTGGAAGGTGTGGGGAGGAGAAGGTTAGGAAAAATCATTTCATATAATCAGGATGCATAAGTAAATTTCTATAACAGAGGTCAGCGAGCTGTAGCCAGGAGAACTGGGGCTTGTTTTTGTGCAACCAGCAAGCTGGCAGTGGTTTTTATATTTTAAAACAAAAGTTTCATTGTATTTGGGAACTTGGCTTGTGAACCAGCAGGTGGGTTTAGCTGACTAGCCATAGTTTGCCCATCCCTAATCCGTCCAAAAAATAAGGGTGTAGAGGAAAGTTGGCTGACGCTTGAACCTTATTCTCATCTGACCTGGTCAAAGGAGGGAAGAGTATACATAGCGTTGGGTTCAAACTCACCAGGGAAAGTGGAGGAGGAAAGATTAACAAGAAGGTAGATTAAAAGGAAGATTAGACCTAAACAAAACAAACTCCAAGGATGTACAAAAATATTTCTAGCTCTGTAAGATGGCAAAAAATGGAAATTGGAGAGGGGAATGACTGAACAGTTTATGGTATATAAATACAATGGAATACTGTTACGCCGTCAGAAGTGTTGAAGGAGATGGTTTGAGAGAAACTTGGAAGACTTAGATGAACTGATATAGAATGACGTGAACAGACCCAGGAGAAACATTTATACAGTGACAAAAATATGGCAAAGACACACAACTTGGAAAGAATGAGAAGCCCTGCACAGAGTAATGACCAAACGTGACTGCGGAAGACTCAATCATGAAACATGCTACCTCCATCCTAATCTAGAGAGGCGAAGGACTGAGGAAGACTCAGCCAACTCAGAAGCTTCTTTTGCTTGACTCTGCAGGTTTCTAACAAGGGTTTTGTTTCTTTCATTCTCAGGTGCTGGAAGGGAGGAGCTGTGTGGGATTGGGAGGGAGAGAAGCCAGATTGTTGCTGATTGAAAAAATAAGTTTAAAAGTAAATCCATACAAATGTTTAAATTACTGATGTTATTCAAATGGTTGTAATCGAAGGGGATGATTTAACTCTATATCCCCTTCAAATTGAGTTTTATTTCTGTTTCATAGAACTGGACTCCATTGTGACCTGACCTGGTGCCATGGAACCAGAATATCAGTGTTCATACTATGTTCTGTTTTCCCCTATTTGTGATATTTTTTTTTTACCAGAATTAGTAAATTAATTTGAAGACCAAATAAGCAATGACATGCCACTGTTGCCTTCATCATCATTCCCCGTCAGCTCATGGGGTGTTGGCTCTCCTTTCAGGAAGCTGCCCCGCTGGAGCATCCTTTCAGTGCCATGAAAAGAGAGCAGCAGAGGAAGTGGGTCCAAGAACTGAACAAGCAGAAGGAAGCAGATAAGCAACGGAAACTCCAGGAAAAAATGATATATTCAAAGGTAATTTCAGTGAGACTCATTGTCACGGGTCTTTTTCTCCAAGAGATTCTGGAATCATTTTGACTTTAAAACCAGTTTCCTAATCCTTTGACCTCAGTTTTCCAACTCCGATTGTCTTAGAAGACTGTATACGTTGTCCACTGGACTTGGTAAATGAATTGAAGTTATTCATTGGTATTGGTTTTGAGCTTCTTAACGTTTATAACTATTTTTAATCCCATCCTGATTTCATTTTATTCACATACTCCAAGAGACTTATAGGAATCTCTAAGTCCCAAGTGTAGGATGAAGGATCTTGCCCTTGGTACCAAGTCTTCCCTGGATACCGGCCAGTTGGTGATGTGGAGTTGGATGAATAATTTCATCCCCCTGCTTGGTAGGGACAATCTCAGCCTGGCCATAAAGGCTTGCTTTCTTTTGTCGTCAGGGTGAAGAACATGACAGATGGGCCATGCATTTTGATTCCTTAAAACTCTATCCCAATTCTCAGTCTCAGCTCTCCTCTCGTGCAACCCAGAAACAACCCGACTACTTCTGTCTGTCCCCGGACACTCAGGAAATGACTGATGTTAGCAGTCCTTATACACCTTTATCTGGAAGCCAACTTGGGCCTTCAGAGGAGGAGAATTCAGGGAAATCTGTTCAGGATACAGCTACCGCAGTCATTGAGAAAACCAAGTGAGTGTCCTTCTCGAGTTTGTAAATGTCTACATCAGTCTTTGGGAATTCCGGAAGGCAATACTTCACCTCTTGTTTTTTAGTTCACGTTAAATTAGTCTGCTTTTTATTTTAGGATTTTTGTTTGCGATACAAATATTTAGTTGAGTTTTCCCTCAGGAGAAAAACAGTCAACATTTTATTAAAGAAAGTTTTTTTAAAATTGAAAATTGTTGATGTATTTATCCTTTTAGTTTCCTTCGTTCTATGACTGCACTCCTGGATCCCGCTCAAATTGAGGAAAGAGACAGACGAAGACAAAAACAGTTAGAACATCAGGTATTGTATTAGAAAATTTAAATCTCTGTCTCAGTGGGAAAATTAAATTATTTCAAATGACATCGTAGAATATGAAAATTGCAAGTCATGGTGTAAAGGATCTCTTTCTGAAATTTTTGCTTAGGGGCCCAGAAAATCACCTTCGAATTCTTGTCTTATCCTAGACTTTTCCTTTCTGTTGCAAAAAAAGAATTATGATGCTAGGATTGTATTACTATGTGGGACCAAGGGAAGAAGCCTCCTGGGATGACAATCTACTTAAATATGTCCACCTTCTCTGTAAATTTTCATAACACTTAAGTTAGCCCTGGGTGTGTTTTGTTTTCTGATTTCATTTCAGCCTTTCAGGCCCTCATGTAAAGTAGATGTAGTAGACTGAGCCCCTGACAGTTTCACGAGATTACAAGCCAGAATTTTACCTGCTAGAACTAATTTGTAACTCTACAGATCTTAGTTAAAGGAGTTTTTGTTGTTTCTCAGAACCGCATGCCTGAATCTATTTGTGAATCTTCCTTTGTGGTGAGAAGGAACCCCAGGTTGGTGGGAGGCTCCTTGAGGCCAGAAGAGGGTGGAGATTTTAGCACCAGCAAATGGAGCAAGGGCCATGATAGGAAAGGCTGCGCCTGTCAGGAGAGGAAAAAAACCTAGGCATTTTATGGTAGTTTTTAGGAAAATAAGCAGAGGAGAATTTTGGGGGCCAGTTAAATTGGGACATCTCTGAAATCTCCCAAGAAGAGCGCTGGCCACAACTCTCAGTGATGCTTGTGCTGGAACATGTGGCAGCCGGCTCACTAAGAGAGCTGCCAACCAGGTGCCCAGAGATCGTGGAGGGACTCGGAGTTAATGCTTCTTCCCTGAGAAAGGTCTCTTGAGACGTCCCGGAGAAGCAACTGATGAGTAAAGCCTTAGTGGCTTCATTCACTTAAACCTGTTCTGATTGTGATCTCTTTTCTGTTCTGAGACTTAGCAGGAGCCAGAGAAAGAGTGTGGGGCCTGGGGATCAGGCACACTGGTTTGTCTTGGGTGAGTTTATACTAGTGGAAAGTCTGAATTACAAAATAGGCTCTTGATGTTATTTTGGGGCTTTCAGATGCAAAGGATGACTTGGCTGAGTCATTTGGACATTCCTGGGTCATTTCCTCCGCTCTGATGCTAAGTTCAACTCCCTTTCCCATGTTAAAGCTCTTCAAGATTAGGAGTCAGTGGGAGAAAGTTGCCTCTTTTCTTGAGTAGTTAGGATGTCACTACTGTTGTTCAGAGTACACCAGGGACTGTTAAGAATAACCTTGTAACACACTAATTGAAATCCAGAGCAAAGGTTCTGGTCCACTTTTCTGTTTCCATTCCAGAATTAAGTTGGCAAGATTGATCTTTGTGAAAGTTTCTTTCTTGTGTCTACTAAAAAAAAGCTGAATCAGGGGGCAGCTAGATGACACAGTGGATAGGGCTCCAGCCTTGGAGTCAGGAGGACCCAAGTTCAAATCCAGCCTCAGACACTTGACACTTACTAGCTGTGTGACCCTGGGCAAGTCACTTAACCCTGTTGCCTCATCAAAAAGCAAAAAAAAAAAAAAAAAAAGCTGAATCAAATCTTTCTCTTTGACTGAAATAAAAAATAAGTAGAGTTATGACAGAACTGTCATAGGCCAACTCTGGTGTTCCATATTCAGGTGAGAAAGAATATACCATCCATAGATCTATCGAAGGAAGTAGGGCTTTGATCCTATAGAAAAGTAGGCTTAGAAGAGAACATGCAAGAGCTATCTTCAAGTCTGCTGAAGGTCGGGAATTCTAATCAGTCCTAAAGGGCACAGTTGGGAGGGTCAGTGGAGTATGCAGAGAGGCACGTCTGGGCTTGATGTATGGAAATAGACATACTTCCTCAGTGTGAGAACTGCCCTGAGGTGAAATGGGCGGCTGCCCTTCTCAGGCATCTTTAAATGGTCGTGCAGCAAGTACATTGTAGAAGATTCTTATCCACATGTGGCTTGGTCTGGGTGGTCACAGAGTTCCTTTCCAACTTAGAGACAGAATGGCAGAGCATCAGCTGTGCCTTTTCAGTGTTTTCTTTGTTCAAAACTGTATCCATTTTCTGTCACCACCGCCCCCATCCATTCCTTCAGGCGGTCTGAAGCATCACGGTTTAAATAGTAGAGTGATTTCTAGAGGCGCTCACTGAAACATTGTATATCAGAGTTATTTTGTGCAGTCTTAGCCATGTGCAGTATTTTAAAATGTGTCCATATGATTTTCTTAGAAAACAGAATGAAGCAGTTAAATACTTAGGAGAGCTATGTGAGTTAAAAATGTCCTAAAACCTCCTCTCCTCTCCTATCCCCCGCTATCTTTTGGTTCTGTCCAGTCTCTGATGAAGGGGCAGGCGGCCCTTCTCTTTGATCCCTCGCCTCCACCCAGCTGGCCCCATTCTCTCCCTCCCTCTGACTGACAGGTCCTAAAGCCACTGGCGTTATTGAGGAGGTGGGGATTGCATCGTTATTGGTGCCAAGGCAGCTGTTGAGAAGGATGGATTGGAGCGTGGAGGTCTAAGGAAGCAGATCAATTACAAGGCTATTGAAAGAGTTCAGATGAGAGATGATGAATGCCAGAACCAGACTGGTAGCTGTGTGAATGGAGCAAAGAAGGCCTATCCGAGAAGGAGGAAACGAGCATTTATTAAGCACCTTCTACGTGCCAGGCATTGTGCGAAGTGCTTTACATGTGTTATCTTATTTGGTCCTCACAACAACCTTGTGAGATAGGTGCTGTTATTCTTTTATAGCTGAGGAAACTGAGGTGACTAGAGATTAACTGACTTCCCAAGGGTCATAGAGCGAGTAAGTGTCTCAGCCTAGATTTGAACTCCGTTCTTCCTGATACCATGCCCAGTGACCCTTTAATCCCCACCCTGCTCAGTAAATTCCAGTGGCTTTAGGACCTATCAGTCAGCAAACATCTGTTAAGCATTTATTATGCTTACATACATTTATTATGCCAGGCACTGCTCTGTGCTAGGAGTGAATATCAAGAAAGGCAAAAATCTGGGCCTTGTTCTCATGGAGCTCCCAGTCTGATGGAGGAAACAGCATGCAAAGAGCTTTGGACAGCCCAGGTATGCATGCAGGGCAGAGTGGAGACAATCTTAGAGGAAAGACACTGAAAGACTTCTTGTAGAAAGTGGAGTTTTAGCTCAAGCTTCAAAAGAAGCCAGGCTGTGATGAGGAGGAAGAGAATTCCAGGCATTGGGGCAGCCAGTGAAAAGGCTCCGAGAGAAGAGGAGTGCTCTCTGCAAAGAATGGTGAGGAGGCCAGGGTCGCTGGATGGAAGAGTACGTGGGATGAGTTGTAGGGGGAGAAAGGCCTCATCATGGGCTTGCCTGGATTTAATTACCATCTCTGTGCTGACGATTCTCAGATCTGCCTTTCAGACATCTCAAACTGGATGGCCAGTAAACATCCCAAACTCAACATGTCCAGAACAGAACTCTTTTATCTTTCCCCCCTAAAATCTCCTCCCTCCTACCCTCCCTCTTATTGTCGAGGGCAACTCCATCCGACCACTCCTTCAGGCTCCCAACCCAGGCATCATCCAGGACTCCCCACTATCTCTCAACTGCCATATCCAAGCTATTGTCAAAGCTTGTGATCTTACCTCTGCAGCATCCCGTATCCCCTACCACCTCACGCCTTGATTATGGCCATAGTTGCTGGTGGGTCTGCCGGCCTCAAGTCTCTCCGCACTCAAATTCATCCTCCATTCAGCCACTAAAGGGATTTTCCTAAAGCACAGTTCTGGTCATGTTCCCCCCCCCCAGTAAACTCCAATGGCTCCCTGTTGTTTCTAGGATCAAATACAAAATGCTCTCTTTGGCATTCCAAGCCTGTCGTAAGCTGCCCCTTCCTGTCCCTCCACGTCTTCTCACACCTTATTCTCCAACACACAGTCTTCAATCCAGTGACACTGGCCTCCTGGCTGTTCCAAAAACAAGACACTCAATCTCTCAGCTTTTGGTTTCTTTTTGCTTTTTGGTGAGGCAATTGGGGGTTAAGTGACTTGCCCAGAGTCACACAGCTAGTAAGTGTCATGTGTCTGAGGTCCAATTTGAACTCGGGTCCTCCTGACTCCAAGGCCAGAGTTCTATCTATTGCACCACGTAGCTGCCCCTTTGGTTCCTCTTTCAGGACGTCTTTTATGCCTTTCTCCTTCCTTCACTCCAACTACTGCCCTCCCTGGCTTCCCGTAAGTCCCAACTAAAATCCCACCTCCTCCAGGGAGACTTCCCCAATCGCTTTAATTGCAGGGCCTGCCCTCTGTTAATTGTCTCCTAAGTATCCTACACTCAAGGAGCTTACAATCTAATGGGGGAGACAACATGCAAACCAATATATATAAAGCAAGCCACGTGTAGGAACTGTCTTTTGCCTTGTTTTGTATCCACAGTGCCTAGCATATAGTTGGTGCTTAATAAATGTTGATTTATTGATTGATGGGGAGATAGGTTAGAAAGGGCTTTGAATGCCAAACAGAGGATTTATATTTGACCTTAGCAGTGATAGGGTTTTGCCAGAGTTTAATGAATTGGAGTATGACATGGTCTGTCCTTTAGGAAGATCACTGATAATCATCTGGAGAATGGACTGGAGTGGGGAGAGACTTGAAGCAGGCAGACCCACCAGAAGGCAATAGTGGAGGCATGAGGTGATGAGGGGCCGCCCTTGAGTAATGGCAGTGTCAGAGGAGAGATGCTGTGGAAGTAGCATCCGTAGACCTGGGCACCATAGGGGGGGGGGGGGGGGGGGGGGTGGTGAGAGCTAGTGAGGAGATGGAGGTGACTACAAGGTTGTGAGCCTGATGGATTGGGAGGAGGGTAGGTAGGGAGAGGAAAGGATTTCAGGAGGAGGTGCGCAGGGTGCGGGGGGATATGAGTTAAGTTGGTGACATTTGGAGTTTTGAGATGTTTTTAGGGCATCCAGTTTGAGATGGGCAGTTAGAACTGCAAGATTGGAGGTCAGGGGAGAATGTGGAGAGAAACCGAGAAATCTAGGAATCACCCACATAGAGATAATAGTGGAATCCAAGGGAGCTGATGTGATTACCAATCGAAATGGTACAGATGGAGAAGAGAAGGTGGCCCAGGACAGAGCCTTGAGGGACACCTACAATTAGCAGTGATCTGGGTCAAGATTCAACAAAGCAGACTGAGAGTACGTGGTCAGACAGGTAGGAGGAGAACCATCAGAGAGCGGCATCACAGACAGCTAGCAAGAAGAGAGGGTTTGACAGTGTCAGAGGCTGCAGAGAGGTTGAGAGAGAGATGAGGACTGAGAAGAGGCTGTGGGATCGGGCAGTGAGAGAACTAATGGCTAAGGGCTCCAGGATCTCTGCCACCATCACCTCAAGTTGGATCCTGGTGGATCAGACAGGACTGAAAAACAACCGGACAAATAGCTTGTTGTCTCCCCGTGGATCGTGAGCCTCTGGTATCCCAGCTGTTAGCACAGTGCCCAGCACATAGTAGGTGCTTAAGAAATGTTGATTGACTATTGTACATTATTCACATTTCTTGCCAAGCTTCATTTCAGTGTTTACTGACCCTCTAAGAAATGAAAAATATGAAGAAAAGCCCTCCTAGTGCTTCTTCTGGAAAATTGGGGCGGAGGAAATCCAAATAGAAATTGAGTATTATTTCTTTACAGCATAGGAAAGGGCTGCAGGGTGGTCTGCAACTCTCCCCCATCCCAGATGAAAATGTAAGTGGGAAGTATTTAACAGAACAGAAATACCTAGAACATAGATGTTAATGTAGGGTAGGAATCCTTTCGTAGAGCTTAGCGGTGGCCGTTTCTCTTTGACCTGGACACCACCGGCTTAGACCCTCAACCCTTGCCTGTGTCTTTTTTCATGGCTAGAAGGCCATCACTGCCCAGGTGGAGGAGAAGCGAAGGAAGAAGCAGCTAGAGGAGCAGCAGAGGAGGCAAGAGGACGAGGAGGAAGAGCGCCGCCTGGCCTGGGAGCGAGAGCAGATGCAGAGGCGGTTTGAGGAAGACGCGCTGCAGCAGAGGCGCAAGGAGGTGAGTGAGGACCCCAGCTTTACTCACAAAAGGAGAAAGCTGAAGGGAAACCCTTAAGCCCGAAAACAGCGACCAGACTGCTGCCTTGTAGAAAATACAGTTGTGTTAGGGTAAAGACAGCCGAGGCTTTGCATCCATCTCCAGTGGGAAAGTCCAGTCGAACCATCAAAGAAAGACGGTTATCCCATGATTCATCAGAACATCAGTGATCGCGCCATTGTGTGGCAGAAAGGCGGACTCTGGTTTAGCCTGGAATTATTTCTGCCGTACTAATTATAACTGTGAGAGTTTATGGTGAGGTTACAATGAGAACATTTAAAAAGAGGAAGGTTACATTTGCTCATAGGCGTCAAGATTTTCAGGTAGTTGTCTGTGCTAGCTTTTAAAACGGAGCACTAGTTATTACATCAACAAGCGTTCTTTAAACGCCTGTTGGGTCTCTTACAGCCAAAATAAGTAAATGACTGTCTGTCAATATTAAGATAGTAAAAGGAATCCGTGCCCCAAATCTAGAATTGCCGAGGCCTGTAGAGTTCTCCGCTCTTCCTCCCACTCACCCAAAACACAGAGCCCTGTCTCCTGGGGAATTCCAGGAGGCCTGCCCTTGCCTTCCGCCAAGGTTTCTTCCTCGACTCACCCCTCATTCCTTCCAGACCAAAGTTGCTCTGACTTTACAAGGTGATAACAAGCTGCAGCATGGTCAGGTGAGAAGGCGAGTGGCTCCTTTAGAACCCAGCTCCAATTATTAGGCCACCCCTAGACATTATAACAAGATTTTCTGGAGCAGTCAGTATTGATTTCTTCTGTTGTGTTACTTCAATAGTTTCAAAAATTTAAGAGGCGTGGCGGCACCCCTCCTGTCCAAGATCTTTGCAGAATCACCGAAGGTGGCCTAACAAACACGCTGCCCTTCTCAGTCCCCTCGGTCATCCTTTGTCCTGCCTTGGTGACTTGTCTCCTTACTTACTGTAGGCTCGAGTCTGTTACTGTAGAGGACCCGTAGGGGCTCACTGTCCCTTCCCTCAGTAGTTTTTTAAAATCCTTTTTTGTTGTCTGTACAGGTGGGGATCAGCATCCTTTGTATTTAGGCCTCTAAAGACTTTATTGCGAACTCTCTTCTTAGATAATCATGTTTTGCAAATTGTCAAGTCATGTCAGCATACGTTTGTTAAGCACTTACTGTGGGCCAGGCTGTGTGCTAAGCACTGGATTTACAAAGAAAAGTCATTACGCATCCTTTCTTCTTCCTTTTGCTTTGTGTGGCCTCAGGTTTGGCAGATGTAGTTACAGCACTCTTTGCTTTCTTGGTTTAAAGCCTTCCCGAACAGATTCTGAAGACACCACATGTATTTGTATTTGCCTTGTTAGTTGGGCTCCACCTCCAAGAGGAAACCTGGACTTTGTATCGTATATTAAGCTGTGGGCCAGAAATACAAACCTCGTTTTCAGATGCCATCTTGTTAACCTGCTGTTCTCTTCTGAATCTCCAGCTTCAGTCAGGAGCAGTGAGTTTTAAAGTACCACTTGGGCCTCTCAGGACTCCAGCATCTTTGCTCCGGACTTCATAATCCTTAGCTACTGCTAGCTGAAGATAAGGGCCTTAGAGGGAAAATGAGGCTACAGACAGGAAGTGAACAGCTCATTCAGAAGATAGAGAATAGAATTTGAATTTCAAATCAGAGCTTAAAAAACAGGAATGACAGGCCCTTAGCCAGGAATGGAGCACAGCTAACAATAACCAGAGTATATTTGCCTGCAAGTAGGGAGGATCTTTGAGGTCGGTTCCAATTTTATAGATTAAGAAAGACAGGCTCTCAGAGCTCAACCTGCACACCTGAAGAGAGCTTTGAATTGGAATCGAAAGGAAAAAATCTTATTTCACCACTAAGCCACTACCTAGAGTGTCAGCTACGACCCAGGAGAAGACAGATGTGTAGGAAGCAGGTGATTTATAATAACATCCAAGAAGGCGGGACAGTCCTGATGTTCACAGCCTCAGCTCTCTATCCACAAATATAAAGCATGCGAATACAAAAACAAACTAGAAATCAGAACAAGAGAAATGAATACAGCCCAATTGGTGTCTTAGAGTACGACCAGAATATGGGAATGAAAGGGTATGTGCCTTTCACTAAAAAGTGTGATGGAATAGTTAGATAGCTGTAGCCCTGGCCATCTTATCTATTACCTCATGTCTGTTTTTGAACCAGAGTATCCATGGAAATGATAGTGTGGCCAGAGCGTATGTCGTGGACCGTGAAAACCAGCAGGAAACAGATGATGAATTCGGGGAGCATGTGTGGGACCAGGCAAGCATCAGAATGGGGGAGACTTTCACTGGCGCTGTCACTCCTAAAAGCAGAACAGCTGTATTGGCCTGTACAGCAGACAGACAGGGAGGTTTAGAAGTAAAAGTCATGGTTTCCCATGCCCCTGGATACTCAGATCATGCTAGATATGGAGGGCAGCAGTGGGCGTGGCTTGTGCTGCCCTCCCTCCCCCAGATTTTCTGAAGTGGGTAACAAGGAGTTGGTAGGATGGCAAGACACCTTGGCTTAAGATGCTTTTGAAGAAGTAGGTGTTATCATTTGCTTTTACATCTCCTAGATTTCCCCCTGTAACCCTCCCTTTCCCAGAAAGTCATTCCTTAAAACAGAATCTTTTCAAAAAGAAGTAGAGGGAAAATGTCAGCAAAAGTAGCGCATTAAAAGAGAAATGCAGCATTCTTTTCATGGTTGAGTGTCTGTGGGGAGGTTGTCTTCTCATCCCTCTTTTTTGGGCCCAGGCTTGTCTTTTCTGATTTTACAACATTCATTTATAATTGTTGTGATGGTTCCTTGTGTTTAGATCGTTGGAGCCACTGTGAGTGAGTACTGTCTTTTGGCTCTGCCACCTTCACCTTGCGTCAGCTCAGCTAAATCTTCCCACGCTTCTCCGCACTCCATTGGTTTAGTTCTTGGTTTAGTTCTTCTCCAGTGGATTGATGTCTACTTTGTTTTCAGTTCTTTGCCTCACAGAAAGTGTTGCTGTCGACATTTAAGTGTCTCTGGAGGGTTTCTTTCTGTCCTTGGGTTAAATGCTGAACAGTAGACTCTCTGGGTCAAAGATGTGAATGTTTTAGCCACTTAAATCATTCCAGTTGCTTTCCAGAGAGTTGTCTTCATTCACACTCCACCAACAATGCATCAGCGTGCCTCTCCTCGTCTTTGTCCTCTGTGCCAGTTTACTGGGTTTGGGGTGAAACCCAAGAGTTTTTATTTGGCACTTCTCTTCCCATTAGCGACTTGGAGTACTCTCTTGTAAGGTTATTCATGGTTTGTCAGTCTTCTTTCGACGATGGTTTGTTCGTTTCCTTGGACCACGTATCTTTTGAGGAATGAGGCCTTTCTTGACTGCTACCGCAAAGGGGATGCCCTCCACAATGAGCTTCTGATGGTACATGCACAAATAATCATGAAGAAAAGAAGGATGTGCATTGACTGAGGGAGCTCTGTAGGGAAGTCCTCAGTTCAGCCCAGCAAACGTTCCTATATGCAGGACACTGGGGATTCCAAAACCAAATCGGAGCAGCCTCCGCCCTGGGAAGGTTACACCCTGTCCACAGGGCGGGTACAGAGCTCTCGAAGGGATCGAGAGGGGTCATTCTGTAGGAGGCAGCACCAGAGCTGATCCCTGGGAGAAGCAGAAAGAAGGAAGGCGTGCACTTGCAGTCTGGGAAGCAGGAGATAAGATGCGGTTTACTGGAGAGGCATTTGGGTCAGTTTGACTGGAAATGGATAAAGGAGAGTAATATGAAGTAAGCCGAGCAAGACGGGAAGAACATGATGCAGGCTGCCTGGCAGACGATGCTGTCTTTCATTCTGGAAGCAGGGGAGAACCGGTGATTATTTTTAAGCAGGTGAGTGATGCAGTGAGATCTTTTTTTGGAAGTTCAGCTTGGCAGCAGCCTGAAGAGGGTTAGAGATGAGGAAACCGAAAAGCTGAGGAGGCCCCGTCAGTACAGGCAAAAAGGAAGCGGACAGGAACCCAGCTGGCGGCTGTGCACAGAGACAGCAAAGCAGCTGGGGTCCCCGTGGACGGTGGTCAGGACTGACCCGTGGAGGGAAGAACCAGATAGGACAATACCAGAAGGGATTCCGTGGGTCTGGCAGCGGCATCAGGATCTGCAGAAAGCTGATCCCCAAGTAAACCAAGTCACACGGGTTGGACCAGCCCCAGCACCAGGAGCAACACGGCAGAGAAGCGAGAGATGGCAGAGGAAACGGAGGTGCTGGGGCAGACCAGGGTGTCGGCTATGAAAGGGAGGAAAGCGGGGGAAGCGGGGATTGGGCTGACTAGAGATGGCAAAGGAAAGGAAGGCGACGAGGCTGCTGAGGATCCAGGAGACGACAGATGAGAGCCAGAGGGGCTGGCCTTGAAAAGCGAGAGCAGAGTCATCAGACTGGAGCAAAGGAGAGGAGAGGGGGCAGGGGGCAGACAGGGCCTCTGTTTTCCTGGGAGAGTTGGAATCAAGGTTCTGTGCTGGGGGAGCAGTGGGCAGGGAAGACGGGGGACACAGGAGGAGTTCCGTAGCACTTTGTCTCACGTCCCCCGGTCTGGAGGCCCAGCTCAGGCCTTTCCTTCGGTGTGAACTGTCGTGTTCTTTTTCTCTCCAGAATTTTGCGTAGTGCCGAGCACCTGAGACGATTGCTTGTTGCTCAGGGGACCTTGATGTCTGAGTCCCCAGAGGTCAGAGTTTGGGCTGGGCAGGAGGACACTGAGCCAGGTGCCAAACTCTTTGAAAATGGTAGAAAGATTACCTGGAGGCCATTGGGAAGCATCGGAGGAGGAGAGTGTGAATGTCCAAAGAGGAAAGGCGAAGAGCCGGCTTTCCCTTCAGCCAATTCCATCTTGAAAAGGCACGTGCAGAAGGTGGGAGGAGGGGCGGGTAATGAGGATGGATCCAGAAGGTGCCGAGGCAGGGGACTTTCTCATCTGTCCAGCACATCTCACACCATGACCCACGTGTGGACCTGGCTTCCCTCTTCAGCCAGCCCCCGTGGCTTCCTCTTGTCCCTGGGGCCTAAAGGGCTGCACAACTTGGCTGCACCCCATTTTTCCAGTCTTACTGGACATTATATTCACGCACTCAGTGCATAGTAAAGCTCTGCTTTATCCACAGAATGTCCCATCTCCCATCTCCACACCTTTGCATTGGCTGTTCCCCATGCCTGGAGCAGGCTCCCTTCTTACCTCTGCCTCATCGAGTTTCTCTCTTTAAGACACGGCCCAGGCACCACGTTCTGCTTAAATCCCCCAAACTACCCTGTGTTTAGCCACTTTGGAATACGTGGGCTGTTTGGTAGCTCTGTAGGTGCTTGTCACCTTCATTGCACTCTAAGCTCTTTCTTTGTGGTTTCCCGGCATCTGGCACACACAGCAGGCACAGAGTTCTCATGTGAACTTAGGCTGGCTTGGCTTTGCCCTCAGAGGATAGCAAGGCGCTCGATGCAACGTTGCACAGAGGTGCATTGCAGCTCCCTGTGGGAAGGCCCTACTTTGGAGTGTCCTGTGGACAGCGGTGCTTGGGTGTGGCCTGACAAGGTCACGGTAAAGGAAGATGTGAAAAATCATCTCTGTAATGCCTGTGGGCCAGGCCCTGTGCTCAGGAGCCCTTTGCAGGTGTCTCATCCGGACCTCACAACAACTCTGGGAAGTAGGTGCTGTTATGATCCCCATTTTACAGAGGAGGAAACTGAGGCAAACAGGAGTCAAGTGACTTGCCCGAGGTCACACAGCTAATTCCTGGGGGCTAGGTTTGAACTCAGCTCTTCTGCCACCAAGCACAGCACTCCTGGATGCTCATGGCCTATCCAAGACATCTGATTGCATTGATAGAGGCTCTCCCTCCACCATCACAAATCTCCATCCCATGTGGCTTTTGAGAGTCACTTGGCTCCTGGAGGCAGCTGGCGCAGGGACCCTGACGCCCAGTGGGCAGCGCCCCTGAGGCAGGACTGTGCTTCCGCAGCATGTGGGCTACAAGGCCTGGGCTTCTCGAACTTCACACTCTGAGGAGGCATCACAGGACGACGCTATTGGAAAATCGCCGAGAGCGAAACGGGGAATCGCCAGAATACCCCGTAACAGGCTCCTGGGTCTGGATCTGGAGCTGAAAGACACCTGGGGGCTCTGCCGGTGCAGCCCTCAGACCTCACACCCACCCCGGCTTCACCACAACAATGATGCTCTGCAGCTTGCATGGGGCCCGTCCCACGCTGGGGAGAGGCTCTCCATGCACTGGCCAGGCTCGAAGGAAAGTCGTTTTGTTAAAGTCTTTTTTTGTTTTGTTGTTTTGTGTTTTTTTTTTTTTTTTGGCAGTTGGGGTTAAGTGACTTGCCCAGGGTCACACAGCTAGTAAGTGCCGAGTGTTTGGTCTGAGGCCGGATTTGAACTCAGGTCCTCCTGACTTCAGGGCTGGTGCTTTATCCACTGCACCACCTAGCTGCCCCTTGTTAAAGTTTTTAAGACAGAATTATTTTGTTTTGAAACCACCAGAGGTGGTCACAGGATGGAAGTTTATCTCAGAGCTATGTGACTTGAAGAAAATAACTGTCGCATTTGACACTGATGACCAGCACCCTCTCTTCTCTTACGAAATTGTGAGGCACCCAAGTGGCCCAGTGGACAGAGCACTGGGGTCAGGAAGACCTGAGTTCAAATGCAGCCTCAAAGCCTAGCTGTGTGACCCTGGGCAAGTCACTTAACTACTCTCTGCTTCAGTTTCCTCAACTGTAAAATGGGGATCATAATAGTACCTGCCTCCCAGGTTTCTTGTGAGGATCAAATAATTGTAAAGTGCTTGGCAGAGTGCCCGGCACGTAGTAGGTGCTATATATATGTTAGCTATAATTATGATGATTGTTTAATAGCTGTAGGATCTTGGGCAGTCACTTAACTTCTGTCTGCCTCAGGCTCCTCATATCAAAGAGGGTAATAATCGCACCTGTCTTCGTTGTTGTGTGGATGAATAAGTGTAAAGTGCTTTGGTAAACTTAAAAATGCTGTATACAAGTTATCTATCATTATTATTGTTAACTCGTCTCCCTGGAGTCTGTCAGTGAATGGCCTGGTACTTTGTTTAGCACCGCAGTGCCAGGCACTCTGCAGACAGATACGATGGATGAAATGACCCCACGCCCAGAGGAGAAAACAAGGACAGTTAGTTATGTACAGAATAAATGGAAAGAAAATCGATGTAAATTAAATGCGAGGGAGACCATAGATTCTGCCAGACCAGGCCCGCGTTGCATGGCTCTGGACCTGCCAGGAAGGGAAATGGATCCTCCCTTTGTCTCCCTGGGGCTTAGCTCCCCCGGGCCCCCAGAATGGGCTGGATCAGATCCAGAGAGCTCATGAATGCCGTGTCCTAGATGAGAGTCCCCACAAACACGCCCAAATATCTCTCATTCTTTAGAAAACGAGCCTCCCTTCCAGCGTCCACTATCACTCTTTCCTTTCAAAGCCAAAGTTGACACATTATTTCCCCTTGCAATCTGGCTTCCGGCCTCTTTACTCACTACATCTCACTTGAAGGCAGGAAGGAAACGGGTGTGTATTAAGCAACCTACTGCGTGCACAAGCATTAGCCTCACATACCAAGTATCTCTGTAGCATGACGATGGTGACTACCCTCTCTCTTCTCTAGGTTTCTCTGGTCCTCCACCATCATTGGCTAGCCTGCCTAGCTCTGGGTGTGCCCCCCATTCGATCCTAGGCCCTCTCCCCTCTCTGCACTGCCTCAGTGACCTCACCAGCTCCAAAGGCTTCACAGATCTCTCTTCCTCCTGGGTCACTCCTGCATTCCAATACCAAACCAGTTCGTAGTGGGTGCCAGATAGGGAGCCCAAGCTCACCATGGCTCATCTCCATCCTCCACGTCGTCTCGTCTCTCTCTTCTGTTCACTGAGTCAGCCACCACCGTTCAGGCGCCATCCCCTCTCCCCTGGATTACTGAAGTAATCCATCTCCCCGTTGGCCTCCCTACCCCTCAGCTCTCTTTCTGCTCCGAAACACTGCCAGAATGGCATTGCTCAGGTGCACGTCTGAGGATGCCCACCTTCCCAGGCTTATTACACATTACTCCCTTTCAGACACATGTATGGTTGAGCCAAACTAGCCTGCGCATTCTTCCTCACATAGGACTTTCCATCCTCAAGCCTTTGCCTAGGCTGTCATAGACTTCTTTCCCGGCCTCCTAAAACCCCCATTTTCCTTCACAGCTCAGCTTGAGCTCCATGTCTGACATGAGGCCAATCCTAATTCCCAGCAGATCCTAGGCCATTTTGTTTATACTTGTATGTGGAATACTGAGGCTCTGGGGCCTAGTAAGTGGTTAATACATGCGTGTTGTTGAACCAACCTCATATACTCATCTAGATTGGAAGCTGCTGTGTCTTTTAATGTGACATTTAATATGTCATTTATTAAAGCCTCACTTAATTCATATATGTCATTTAATAAAGCCTCATTTGATTAAAAAAAGACACATCTGAAGAAGTTAATAATTAAAAATACTAACCTCTTTTACTGGGTATGCCTGTTATTAAATTCATTATAGATGTATAAAGGGACTGACTTAAGTTCCTAACAATTAACTTGAATAGTAAATAAATAGTATTTAAATAGCATCTTTCTATTTGTGTCTCATGTGTAAGGAATAAGAGGTTGAAATGACAAGCAAAAAATCCTCTCTAGAATCTCGATGGAGGGAGGAGGCATGAGCCTTAGGGCCCTTTACACGTTTCCCTTCGTGATAGGAGATGATGACTCTGAAGACACACGAGCTGTATCGGAGCATGCAGAACGCCCAGGAGCTGGCACAGAGACTGAAGCAGGAGCAGCGCATTCGCGAGCTGGAGCAGAAAGGCCACGACATCTCCAACCTGCTGCGCAATCTTGGCGGTGAGGCGGGGAGGGAAGGGGCTGCGTCGTTAGTCGCAGGCACAGCTGGAAACGTCCCCAGAACAGAGGGAAAGCCCCGATTGCCGTCTTCACATATGGCAAAGATTCTCATTTTACTCCATTGCCTTGAGGGGCAGAAAGGACTGGGGTGGCCGTGACAGAGTTACTACAGATGAGCAAAGAGGGGTTCAGGTGTCAGTGTCAGAAGCAGAATCTGAACTCGGGTCTTAGGCAGCCAGGGAACACCACAATGCACAGATCACTGGGCCTGGAGTCAGGAAGACCCGAGTTCAAATCCTGCCTCCGACAGCTTGCTAGTTCTGTGGCTCTGGGCAAGTCTCTGTGTGCCTCAGTTTCCTCATCTGTGAAGTGGGAATAACAATGGTCAGAATCTCTTACGTGCTTCCCTGGCAAACTGAGGTTCTTTGGGGGGCCAGGAAGCAACAGAGAGGTGAGGATCCGCCACCTTCTAGTTCCTACTCTCATCTTCTCCTGACTAGTTTCACATTTTTTCCTGTTACAGCAAAAGTGATCAGAAAGAAACAGAAAAATGTGAATTATACTGATGGTGACACTTGGTGGCCCAGTCACGCTGCCCATCTTACTGGTACTTTCTCTGTGGCAGCGTGAGCAATTCCAGGTTGCCCTGGGAGCCCCTGTCGGCGTCCTGTCTTGGGTGTAAGCCCGTGTTCTGAGCCCCACTTCTCTCCCTGCCAGGCGAGGCGGGTATGGCGCAGCAGAGTCTGGACCAAGTGAGCGCTAAGGTCAGTCAAGGAATCAACACCGCCGCCTCTCCTCGAAAGGATACTGCCGTGCAGACAGGTACTCGCTCAGAAATTAGGATTTACCTGTTAAATGACTGAACTCTCTTAATTGAAACAGTTGGGAGTTCACCTCAGCTTAAAAATGAAGGGTCAAAGGAAGCCGCTGAAAGAAGAGTGGGTGTGGAATCCAGGCTTAGCCCCTTACTAGCTCTTTGCCCTGCCTGCCTCAGTTTCCTAATATGTAAAAAGGGTGTTACTTATCCTTGACCCTGCTGTAAATTAGTGAGGTTTGCAGATAACAGGGTCAGCCGGGCTGCGTTTACCGTCTACCTGCTGTGTGCCAGGCCAGGGACACAAAGGCCACAGAGGCCCTTTCAGAGAGCGGCATCAGGAAAGGTGCTTGTGCAAGGGGGCGATGACAGACCCTGAACGTCACTAGGTCAGAGGGCACACGGGCTCTGAGTGACAAGCAGAGCATTCTGTATTGAGCCTGAAGGCGACAGAGCCCCTGGAGCTTACTGAGAGGAGGATGGACTGAAGGCAGGCAGACCCCACCCCACCCCACATCCCCGTTGCAGCGGTCCAGGCGGGAGGTGATGAGGACCTACGCCCGGTGGGGGCAGAATCTAGAGGCTGTGGGAGGCGAGGGACAGTGAGTAGTTCAGGTGATTTGTTTCTTGTGATCCCATCTCTCTGCTGGGATATGAGCTGAGCCACCCCTTCTCCAGCCCTGAGGATTCCCCACTTGAGGCCCCTGAATGGGGCTGCTGCCAGCTCAGCTCGGTTTTCATCACTGCACGCTGAAATTCAAATGAGCAAGCTGAATTAACTCTGGTGGTAGAGTCCACTTGGAAAGGCACGAACGGGGCCTAATTTTGGAAAGTGTCCTCGGGTGTTCATCTGTTCCTTATTTAACCGGCCAGTCCTGCTTCAATTCAACATATATTAAATCGCGTGCTCAGTATTCGGAAGGACCCAAGAGGTGGTATTTCCCCAATGGGATTTACAGTCTAGTAGACGGAATGTTTAAAAGATATTCTCTCCCTGTGGAGCCTCGGCATCTCTGTCCACCCTCCGTTAGTGGGGAGGGGCCCATTCTGGATCTGTCCCTTTGCTTCCTTCCCATCTTTACTATCAGAATTGAAGGACGTTTTTCCCCCATCCAATTTTCCCCTTTCTTATGTTAAATTAGATTTAAAAACAAAACAAAAAACACTTCTTCTGTCTTGAAATCAACTCCCAAGCAGAAGTGACTTGCTACTCCCCTGGCTTTCGGGTGGCCCCTAATTTTAACATCATATTCTTATTAGCTCCATAGTGAGTTGTCTCAGGGGATGCTTCATCTTGCTCTCTGCTCCATCTTGAACCAGAGAAAACAAAACTTACAGAATTGCACCCTGTCCCCCGGGGACACTCAGGCAGGGCTTGCGGTAGACCACAAAAGAAGTAATCCCAAATCTCTTTTTAATATAGATGATTTGCACACAGGAAGAGCCACCAGTGCAGAAGCACAAGCTGAGCCCATGACTGAGGGCACGCTCACACACCTTCTCTCTCCCGAGATTTTGGTAGAATTGGACAGACAATTTAACAGCAAGAAAAGTAAGAAAGAGGTGCTGCCTGAGGACGAGAAAGCTCCCCTAGAGAAAGAAAACAGCCGTCACAAGGACCTGTATGACCAGTTTGCAAGAACTGAGAAACAAAAAAGACACAAAGGGAAGTGTGCAAAAAGACCTGACTGGAATATAAACAAGCCAGCCCAAAGGTACGTCCCTGCCTCAGAAAGGTACCCTAAACACCTGCAGAGGCAGAGGGAAGAAAAAAAGGTAAGGAGACAGATGGAACTGCTTCAGCTGCTGGAAAGAAACACTCCTGGCCGCCTCTCGGGGCCAAGAGACATCTCCCTGGAAAGCACCTGTTCCCCCCACGAAGAGACCGATTCCAGAGCCAAGGGGCCCCGAGGCCAAAAGGTATGTGCTCAGAGAGGGCACCAGACACGTGTCTGCAAGTGACCTTCTGCAAGGTCACTCCCTAAAATGTGACTTGATTCCATCAAAATAGTATCATCTCATTGGCTTGTCTCAATGCTATTTTGTCCACGGATACTAGTTTTAAAATGTTACAGTGTTTTTCACAGTAAGCACATCAAAGTACCCACAAAAAGCTAGCACAAAATGTTGGCTTTTCTAATGACCTGAAGGGTTAAGTCAGTGACAGCTTACAGGGGGAAGGAGTTTTTTTACTTCTGATCTCGTTTACATTTTAATACACACAGTTTAATTTAATAAGTTTAATAAAGCACTGAACGGGTCTTGAGTAGAAAAAGTTTAAGAAGCCCTGGTTTAGCCTAACTTAGTCCCTTCCTCTGAAAGATATATTTAGCCATGACCCCCAGGTTGTTGTAATAACCTTCTGGGTTTGCCTTTCTTTCTTTAATTCTAGGAAGAAGAATTGAAAAAAATCAACTCCAGCAAACAAAGCTATTGACCAGTTCTAACGTTACAGGTTTTGAAGGACCAGAGAAGGCTTCTAGAACCTGGAATGGTTGTGGCTTGCAAGGCTTGTCCACTTGAAAGGGGAACCACAGTCTGAGAACTGAAAGATACTTTTAAAGTTACCAAGCCCAGCGCCAGTTTTAGAAATGAGGAAATGAATTCAGGAAGCAAAAGGCACCGCAGATAGAAAGATGAAAAACCACATGGTCCCTCCCTTCAGAGGAGACTGACCGGAGGGAGATGTGCAGTAAACAGCCGAGCTGAGGCGATCAGGGAAGGCTCATTGAAAAGGGCTTTAGCTGCGATTGTTAATGAAGAGAATTTCAATAGACAAAGGTGTATAGATTTCAATTCAAACTGATCTCTGTTCTCACAGCCCCTCTACCATTGTTCTCAATGACTTAATAAAGCCAAGGGATGGCTAACAAGGCCTAAACAAACCAGGATCCAGGGAGATCGGCACAGAATCCATTAAGCTTAATTTAATAGAGATGGTGGGCAAGTTTTTAAAGGCATTCAAAGTCATTCTCACAAGTACCAGCCTAAACAGCTCTCCATCTGGCAGTGACTGGCTGTATGTGAGTTCAGTGTTAACAGAGTAGCCCAAACAGTTCAGTCATCTTAGGCTGCATTGAGAAGGTGTCCAAGACAACTAGGGAAATGATACCAGCATGGCACTGTGCCCCAGACAGACCACTATATAAAGTGCAGCACACTTTAGGAAGAGCACTAATAATCTAGTAAGAAGCCAAAGGAAGGAAGCCAAGATGGCCAGATGCCACAAGTTAACTGGGGATGTTGGAAGGGTTTTATCTGTGAGACTAAGCTGGACAGACCGAGAAGTGGTTAGGTGGCATTGCCAAGAAGCAACTTTCATCTTGGTGTGAACAGGAAACTAACAGTGTTTTCCCCCTCTGGGGGGCTTCACGCAGAGGCCAAATGACCTACCAAGTAGTCCTGTTGAGCTAGAATGTATGAAGCAAGTTCATGCCTGTGAGCAAGTCAGTACTGGAGTTCACTCAATGGAACCTAAAATACCCAGATCATAATGACACTGGGGTTCAGATGAGACAGTCCATGTTAAGTGTTTGGCAAACTTTAAAAGTACAGTGTGAATGGAAGCTATTAATACCCACGTATAGGAAAACCAACCAGTTGACTTTGGTTTTCTTCAGTTCTACAGACATCAGAGTGCCTGTTTGCCTGGTATTAGAGATGTCAGACGTAGATACAGACATGCTAAATAACCCTTGATCTTACAGTCTAGTGGAAGACGATGACATTCACAGATTGGAAATCAGAAGGCAGCATATGAATTTAGCTATAAATGTGGGTACGGAACACAGTGAGCATGGGCACTCAAAGGCAAAAGACGAGAAAGAGAAGTCGCACTGACTGGAAAGGTGGGATGGGCACAGAGTCTGTGAATGAGGAAGATTTGGTCCAGCAGTATTTAGAATGGATTGGAATGTGGAAACGTGTAGGGTCTTTCACAAGGCCACTGAAGTGGTACAGGTGGATGGGAAGGACAGCCTGTACTATTGTGGCAGCCGGTAGGAACAGGCCAAGGAAGAGACTGCGGAGGTGGAGGCTTTGATGGCAAGAGGCAAAGAGCTAGTGGTGTTAGGAAGTGGTGAGGACGGACGGATGGGAGTGAGAAGAAAGAAGCTCGTTGTCGAGTGTAGGGGCAGCATTTGGGAGGGGAAGAGAGATCAGGGCTTGAGATCTGTAAACTTGTGAACACCTACAAATGTAAACTGATTGCTGGAGGTGAAATCCAAAACTGTCAAGGGAAAGAGTTAAGAAATAAATAGGACAAGGACAGAACCTGGGGAAGTAACACCAACCTTGAGGAAGCCCTTAGTCCTACTTTCCTTTTAATATCATTGTTAAATTAGATTACAAAATTGTTTCAGCATGGATGAATTAGTATTTTCTTTGAAAAGAACTGAGATGATAAGATATAAATTTACACAAGACAAATTTAGGACAGTTTTATATTATGCTTTATGTGGGCCAAAATCCGCACCTAGTTCATTCCTTTTTTCAAAACAGATCTGAATCACCTCCTGTTCCAGCAGTAAAGAACCGATTAGAACAAACACAACCAAAACAGACCAACACAGTACCTGCCCCTGAACCACCTTTCATCCCCTATGTCCGAACCAATGAAATCTACTGTCTGGATTCACATGTACCATCATCTAGGCCTTCGGCCTATGATCCTCAGAATCCTTATTTAAATGGTAAGAAAACCATTTTGGGAAGATCCCTGTGAAATTCTGAAACCTTGGAAAACCAGTACTTCTATTAAAGAGTGAGTTCTAAAGAAGGAAGGTCCACAAAGTTTTAAAAAACATTATTCAGAGAAAAGTTGTAGAAAATAAGATTCATCCTTTTGACATTCCTGTCTGTTCCGATTCACAGTAAAAAACTTCAGTCAGATTTTATAAACTGCAGATTGTTTTCAGTCCCACCCACCATCCCCACACGTCTTTTTATACCTAGCTAGCTAGAACAGGTGGACAGAATGCAAGGAAGGCCCGAGTTCAAATACAGCTTCAGACACTAGTAGCTTAGTGACCCTAGGGCAAGTCACCTTAACCTGTTTGCCTCAGTTTCTCCAACTGTAAAATGGAGGTAATGGTAGCACCTAGTTCCCAGGGTGATCAAGTGAGATATTTGTAAACACTTGGCAAAGTATCTGGCACATACTAGGTGCTATACAAATGCTTATTATTATTATTCCCTTCCCCACCCACCACAGGTGAGCTGTGCAGAGGCATGCAAAAACTGAACCTAAATGGAATACATGGGAAATTATGGGATATATCTTCTCATCTCCTTTTCTCTAACTTTAGATTCTGACTACCGAGAACAGATAATTGGCTCCGACAACATGAGAGATCCACTTCTGAATCCCAACTTGGTGAAAAACAGAGACAGACAACAAGCAATCCTTAAGGGACTATCAGACCTGCGACAGGTATGAATGGTTTTTATTAAGCACGGCAAACATCACAGTTCTAAAACCTGCATGCCACCATCTTACTAACTAATGTTATCTGGTGAATTAGTTTTTTAAGTATTACACTAAAAGGACGTTTAGACTAATAACAGTACCAGGTTTAGCCCATTTGAGAAACTCGTGTAGTTTTTAAAATACCATTAGGATGGTTCAAACTCCAGAAAAACTGTGCTGTTAAATTTAGTATTTTAATATCCAACCCAAATATAGAATCATGAGTCAGCTAAAACATTAATTCAAACATGACTTTATTAAATTAAAAAGTTACATTTTTAAAAGTTGAAATAATTTTTAAGAAACAATTATACACAACCCCAAAATGATGAACATAAGCTGGTAAGAGAAGTGTAAAATTATGCATCATTAGTTCTCCAGAGCCCCAAAGCCCTTTGCACAATGTTAGTTCACACAGACAACAGTGAGATGCTGGGCAGCTTTCCAAAGTTTCCCACGTTCTGCCTGTATTCTTACAGTTCTGTTTTTGCCCAAACCCAGGTTTTAACTGTTCAGTCGTCTTCCCAGCCAGTGAGAAATAATGAGCGTCCGACTCCCTTGTCTGTCTCCTCTAGCTGATGACTGACCAGGTTTCAGAGAATGGTATCATGTCCACAAGATAGGATGACCAGCCTCTCTCTACCTGAGGCCTCCTCTTTCGAACCCTCCCTCCCTCCCTCCCTCCCTTCTCTGGGCATAGTGAAGTCACAGACTGAAAAACCACCCGAGAGAGTCACAGCTGGACTCACCTTTGTTCAGACTGGATTGGGCCGTTCTTCATGGAAATTCTTTTGAGTAAAACTTATGTATGTTTAAAAAAAATTTTCAAAAGATCTCTAACACAGGCTGCGTGTGAATCAGTAATGATGTCTTCTCGGTTTTCATGGTTTGCTTTGTGCAGCCCCACGCTGCTTTTATGTCATCTGTATCATCACTTCAAAATCTGCAAACTCCTCAGAAATGATCCTTTTCCTTAAACGTTACGAAGTTACAAAGAGTAACTTTCTCACAGTTTGCTCTCTCAGAGAATGGAAGATTTTAGGTGATGCAACAGAATGTGTCTACTGAACATGATGCATCCATCTAACGTTCAGTAGTCCACATGTGGAGCTTCTGGGGAGAGCCCGTATCTGGAACCTCTCACTAGAGAGGTACCCCCACCCCCACTCCAATTCACCAAGAGAGGTGTAGTGCCCTTTTCAAGAAGAAATAACATCTGAGTGAGGAGGTCTGATGGCCAGCACCAAGGCAGAGCAAGGTAGGGCCAGGCCATGTCTGAAAGCAGGTGCACAGCAGATCCAGATCACCCCACTCTAGAAAAGAGGCAGCTTGCAAGTGCGGTAGCACCCTCACGAAGTAAGTCCAAACAAGAAATTTCTGAGAATGGTTGGTTTTTATTAAGAACAGCTCCAGAGCTATCCAGACCCAGGTAATAGGAATGTGTAATGTAAAATCTCAAAGTTAAGAATGATTGATTGGTGATGTATGAACTAATAGGCCAATCTGATTTCAGGGCCTTCTCCAGAAGCAGAAAGAGCTGGAAACTCATCTCATTCCCTTAGCTTCAAGTCAAGAGGATTTTGATTCTCCATTCTAATGTACAGAAGTGAGAATACATCAAGCCAAACTGTTTATGTTGGATTATAGCTCTCATTACTGGCTTAACAGCATTACATTCATTAAATTATAAAATAATGTATTGATTCAGCAGCCATGTTTCTATACTTGAAATTGTTTGGGTTACTTTATTGAAAAATGATCTATTAAAAACTTTGTAGAATGTAAATATATTTTTTCAAAGAATAAAATGGCAAATGTTTTTGTAAAAAATTCAGCAATTAAACCTCGTTATTTTTATGCTCCAGTTCAAACAGTTATAAACAAGTTTTACAAAAGATAGATTCTATTTACACTTACCTTAATATGGTCTCAAGTTTTCATGGTATTACAAAATACTTCACAACACTTTCTATGTAAGCCATGCATTTTACATATTAAGTTTAACGGTCACATGATGGTGATGGCATTGGCCCCCAAGTCTGGTGGGAGAGGAAGGGCCCCTGCATGACCACAACACTAATTAATAAATTATGATCCGTTTAATAACTGAAACAGCCCAATGTATGTTCACAATATTCACCGGTTTTCATTTACTTTAAAGAATTCTGGCTTGTATTTTTAGTCATGATCATGGACTATGGGGGAGAAATGAAAAGCAAAAAACAAATGAACAACAAAAAACAAAACGCAGAAGTAGTGCTTCTTTAAGAAATTAGGGCAGAATATATAATCTACTCTGGTACCTTATGTTACAGAGATGGCTCTAGATCCTTGACCACCATGCCCAAGAGTATCTGAAAACAAAGGGCCTGGGTCTGATTATGTCACCTGCAAGATTATTTTCCAGAAGTGGGGAATTTTTTTTTTTTTATAAAAGGAATCACTCACATTAACAAAATCTCAGGTTGCAAGTTTAAGGACTGATTCCTGCCTCTCTGACCTGAACAAAACTAGTATTCTAAGAATCCTTTAAAATCTTTTACCTTTGTGGGGCAGAAAGGGACAGGAGGGTTACTATGCTAGTTCATGGTGGCCATGTATAATCTCTACTAATAGAATACAAAGAGAAATCCACATTTCTGTTTAAAAGAACTAATTACAATGAATTTAAATTCAAGTTTTATTTTTTCAAAATATCAAAGTCTGAACGGAGAGGGCCAATGGGAGGTGAGATTTTACTATGTATACTATACTACACCAAAGAAAATTCACCTTCCTAACAAACTATAGCACTTTGCACAAAACTGTTCTGAAAAGTAAACACTCCGTAATACAACTAAAAAGGAATCCCAAATACTCTTAAACTTGTTCCAAGATTTCGGGACTTTTAAACAAAAGCTAGAGACAAAACATTTTTAAATGAATCTGTACTGTTAGGTGATCTATAATTGTAGTATTTCACCTAATGTGTATTAACTACACTGGGCTTAACATTTATATATAAAAATGCTGTACAAAAATTAGAACCAAATAAATACAATAACTGATAATCATTTAGGAAAAAGTGGTTTGTATAGTCTGATATTACATTAGGAAAAAAAGGAAAGCCAACACTCATTCAACTTTACATTAAGAGACTTCAGTCAGAAGCCCAAGTACAGGATAAATACAAATGTACAAATGTCCACACACGAGATAATTCAAGTACAATACGTGTTAAAAATATATATATATATATATTTATTTCAATTTGCAGATGCTTCAACTGTTACAGGCCATCATGATTTAAATAAGAGAAGAAAACATTTGAGAAAGGACAAACATTTTGTTCAGAGAATAAAATATAAATTGTTAGTTCACTTTAAGAAGCAGAAAAAGTCCACAACAACCTATAAAAAAAGTTATTGTATTTATTTCTGTTTTGAATATGGCCTAGAAGAATCATTTACATCCCAACTAACTGGAGACGAAGACTTATCTGTTTCCAAGGCTTGACTATAGGCAGACAGAAAATAATTTCCACTTTCTTGAGTCTGACTAGTCGAAACAGTATATGGTGTTCCCAAAAAAGTCTGATGAGTGAGAACATTAAAATGACTGAATTGATGGGACATGCTCAACTGCCTACTATGATAGCCGTGAACGTCGTCGAAAGGAGCCGATGCCAGGGACTTGCTAGTCTCCCTGTCTGAGGCGGCCGTGGCCGCCGCCACCACAGGCTGCCCCTCTTCTGCGCCAAGTTCACAAGTCTTGTTTTCTAACAAACTTCTCTGCCTGTCAGTAGATGGCTGCAACTGAGTTTGAGAAATCTCTTTTTGATCTGTTCCACGTGATCCTTTGGTCTCTATTTCCAATATTTCTGAATGAGAACTGCTGCATACTTCTATTTGTGAAGTTTCATCCCCTGAATCCAGAGACATATCCTCTTCGTCCTTTTCATCACTTTCTAAAAGAGCTACATTTAGAGAAAAAAAACAAAGTCCTACTCTATTGAAATACATAATTTGTTTTTAAAATTACACACTACTTACACAATATAATGCTTCAGAGCTGCAAGTCCAAAATCCCTTAGAGCTCGGTCTTCCGCCACAAGTTCACTTACTCACCAACACTCACACACAACCTTTAGGTGTGAATGTCCAGATATTCCGATGCTAAAAGCTTCTGCGAAATGTGTTCACGTTTAATGTTGGGAAATCCCAACTCCCAGCTCCAAAGGGGTTAATGTCAAAACAGCATCTAAAGTTATACGGTAGTTCAGTATTTGACAAGACAATTACATAATAAAATTTGACATCTAAGATCACTTGATTACTGTCTAATTTAGCCAGGCTACTAAGAGTTTTACTAAACTGCATTCCTTTCCAAGAAAAAAGACAATCTTTTTGGTTTACAATAGGCCTTGAGCCAATGAGATACTATCTCTAATAAACTGCTATAGATAAGCCAACTAAACTGAAGTTTTCCACGTTTTAAGTTTTAAGAAAAAATCTAGAATCCCAGAGATAAATATCAATGTCCAGCCTCCTACTTTACATAAGACAAAGGAGCAGCCCACCGAGCATACAGACTAGGCTCTCTTCCTCTCCCCAGGCCAACACCAACCAGTGGGCTGTTAACCTCATGATGCCATCCAGTCTCCTCCTTAGAGCCCCTTCATCTGATTTTTACTAAAAGGGCAAGGCAGGAAATAAACTCAAGTCACCAAATGGAATTTCTCTTCACTATCACCACTTAGTGGCATAAACTCTGTGTTAAACTTTAGATGATAAACTACTGGAAACTTCTCAAAATATCCACTTTAATGATCTTAAGTAAAACAAGTAGAGTCATTACTCTTTTGATCTGCCTTATATAATATGGGGTTCACTGAAAAATTACCTGATTGTCTCTCAAGACTTTCATTAGCACCATGATGTAGAAGCTTTTCTTCTGTTATTGAATTGTGATAGCCCACAAGACTTTTAAAGTTTTGCATGAAATCTTCAGCTGTTGCAACCACTATTCCACTATCTGTATAACTGGAAAGCATTTTGACATTCTTTTCTAAACAAATTTTTAGAAAAATAAAGACAATTTAATGATCTGCATCAGAGCTAAAACACAAGCATACCCTCATTCTCCATATTTCCAGAATCATACAATAGCTTAAAAGCTTTCTTTTTACCTGTTAAAAAGACAACATGTCGTTGCTGTATATTCTGAGCCTGAAGTCTGATAAGACAATCCAATTCAGGAGCATTTCGAGTTTGAGAATCACAGTTGTGGTATGACAGAATTTCAACCAAATGTTTTTTTTGATAGACATTCAAAAGCGTCAACACATTTAGAGCTTTAGCATTCAATCTGTAAAATTAAAAGTTGCATATCTAGATCTGCTTTTCTAAAACTCTGTATGAAAGTATTTATATCAGGTTGATTTAAAATGACATTTTCTCAAATAAACAAGGTGGTATAAACACCCCAAACCAATTTCAAATCCTATGTTACTAAGCTAGCTATATTTATGCTCTTACTAAATTAAACTATATAAACTTATGTTTAGCTTTAAATTTTTTAATTTAAATTTAAAAAATAAAGATTAGAACAACTGATTTCAAGAAAAACATCACTTTGATCTAAAAAGTATTTCTACATTTTATTTTGAGTTGAAAGTCAGCATGGTACAGCAAAAGAGGAAGAAAAGATGGAGGGGGTAAGGGAAGGAAAGCGGAGGGGAGGAAAAAAAAAAAAAGAGCCCTAGGCTAGAAAATTAGGAATCAAACCTCTCAACGACAAATTTTCCATTTAGGATTAGGACCAGAAACAACCCTCAACTTCTTGTCACCCACGTTCCCATCTGTCATAGAAGAATTATTTGACTAACCTACTTCAAAAGATTATGACGTTTAAAACCAGAAAACAGTTTTCCCTCCGTGGACCTGGACATACAATTTACTCCTATTTTCCTCGCATGCTTCAACAAATACAGCAGGTCACTGTGCTAGGCACTAAAGGCACAAGGACAAAACCGAAGTGGACTCTTCTCATGGAGCTTACATTGTTCTGGGGTGGGTGGAAGGATGGATGACAATAAAGACAGGAAGAGTCATTTCAAGAGGAAGAAAATATTTATATTAACAACCAGAGAAATAAGAAATTAAAACCTTGTAAGCTGTCTGAAGTGAGCTTTAAAGGCAGTCCAAGATCCTAAGACGCCAAGGAGGAAGGAGGGCACGTGCTCCAGACAGAGGAGACAGCGACTAGCATGGCCGAGCCTTGGCCCGGCTGGCACAGCAGTGTTTAGTTGGCGGAGAAAGTGAATTACAGTGGGGAGGGGGATGGAATTAGTCTGGATAGGGGAGCAGCGGGCAGGGGAGCAAGGGCTTGACATGCCCAGCTAATGTGAAACTGGAGCACTTAGGGAGTCGCTGACTCCCTGTGACCTGCTTCTCCACCCACCTCAGCCACACAGAGATGGTCAGAACCTCAATCTTGCCCTTTTACCTACAAAGGTTCAAGAATTCTGAAATCCCCTTTTCCAGCCATCATCGATTGGCTTTCCACCTGTCCCTCTGCCTTCCCTTACATACCCCTACTCTACATCCACACTGATCCCTTAGTTCTCTTCAAGGCCATGGGGATCCCTATGACAAGCACTCTTTCTTCTCCCCATCTTGACTCCTTGGCAAACCAATCTGACTCTACACTATCCTCTTCTCTTGAATCCCTAACCCCTTATTTTACCAGCCATGCCCTGCCAAGCCTCAGCCTTGGATCACTCCCACCATCTACTCACTGCCTTAGCTCTCACACAGGCTACTGGGCAGAGGTACAGAAAATCACACGACCATTCTGACCAGGTCCACTGCACCCTTGCTGCTGCTAGGCAATCCTACTTTTCCTGCCTTGACACCATGCTCTTCCTAACCTTCTCATTCTTCCTCAAAGCTCCTATGGCTCCCCCTTCAACCACTCTCTTGGCTTCACTTTGCTCCATACTTTAGAGAAAAAATTGGGCCCATTTGTTGTGAGCTCCTCCTCATCTCCCCTCCCTCGGGTGCCACTGCCCCTCTCTCCTTCATTCTTGTCTCTCATGATGAAGTTGCCTCACTTCTGACCAAGGGCAGCCCTTTTACCTGTTTAAGTGACCCTCCAACAGATCGCTCCCTGCTGTCATCCCTACCCTTTCCCTGACCTTCAATCTCTCCCTGTCTTTTGGCTCATTCTCTACAGCCTACAAACACGCTCATGTCTCCTCCATCCTGAAAAATCCCACATGATTCCTCCCTCCCCACGATCATCCAAGATCTCTTCTGCCCTTTGTGGCCAAAGGCCTCGAGAAGGCCATCTACACTAGGTGCCTCCACTTTCTCTCCTCTCTCTCTCTCTTCCTTAACCACTTGGAATCTGGCTTCTGACTTAGCATTCCAATGAAACTGTTCTCTTCACAGGGACTGGCAATCTCTTAATGGACAAATCCACTGGTCTTTCCTCAACCTCCACTCTCCTGACTTCTCTGAAGTCTTTCATACAGCTGGTCACTTTCTCCTCCTTAACACTCTCTTCACACCCCTCTCTCAGCT